TGTCTAGCAAGTTAGTTTTTTTCAGTTACGTTGTATAGTTTACCAGAGGGTAACCGTGTCCCTACAGAATCCAACAGGTAAAAGCAGCTTTTCTTGTGATCACTTGCAATCTACATGTGGTGAATCACTGGCGTCCCAATATGTCATGATTGTTTTTTGTTGTATTTAATACCACTTTGAAGATGTTTTGGGAGTTGCGTCCACAAGGTGTTTCCTCATCTTTCACACAGCAAAACTTGCCAAAACAGAGTTTGTCGTACATCGGCGTCCCATTGGGGTTGACCTTGCTTTTGGTCAACTTATTTGACTTCCTGATCCAACGGCGTCCCAATGAGATTTGACACAATTCTGTTAAATTGGTCGACTTTAACGGTTCGGAGTACATTGCTATACCCTATCCCGATCCCTCAAGTTCATTGTGCTTGCTATCAAAATGATGGATTTTAGATAGATATCATGTACCTCTTGGGTCAGTTGGCGGCACCCAACCTTGAAGAGTCAAGATGAGCACCATGGGCGTGGCAGTGGAGTCAAGAGAAGTGGCTAGGAGTGGTTCATCCCAACTTGCTAGGCTCACATGGCTGTGAACTTGGGTAGGTGAACACCCCCAAGTCATCTATTTGGACCAACATTTTGACCCACATCCACTTTGTAATGGTAGGATGTCCCCGCCGTGTATTGAAAGGCAAGCTGGCCACTAGACAATACTCGACCAATCCGAAGAACAACAATTTTTTGAGGACTGTAGACGTAGCTTTACACCTCCAAACAAGCGGCCAGGGGTGGTAGCACCCTGTAGAGAAGTTGTTTTGAGTTGGAAATGGATGGTCTTTCAATCGGGATCAAACTTGCTGGTGGATAATATCTTACAATTCCCCACATCTAGATGGTGGGTCAACCGGACGATCCTCGTTTCGCGGCTGGTTTGTTTTTCACGGGACGTGAAGCATTCGCCAAAACCTGCAGGCGATGAGATCTTGATCTCCTACCTGTCTGGAGAGGACGGACGGGAACTGTCTGGGTTGTGGCTTATCGACTTGCAAGTCGACAGGGGGTCTCAAATCTTGGTTTATTATGCTTTCCATATGCTTTCCATATGGTTTTGTTCCCAGATGTTGGGCCCCCAACCAGGTCTTCCCTCGACCTGACCATCCGTCAGGATTTGCTACGACCCACTTGGGTTCGGAGGAAGGAGTTGCAACGGGGGTTGCTTGGCTCTTTGACCACGTTCATACTCCAAGAATGATGAGTAATGATGGGTCAAACTAAGCACGTCTTGGAATCCTCTTGGAATCCTCTTGGATAGAGAATGGAGAATGTTCTGCCGAGTTCTGCCTGAAACAGGATCCCACAGAGCTTGTAAAATAGACGAAGATTCCAGCAGAAAGAGAAACTTCACATGTCTCTGCTATGATTTCTGTCTTCCATAGTGATGTTGAAGTGTACGTATGCCTCACAGAGCAATTTGAGATGTTCTGAAGGGGTGTCAAGGGAATTTCATCTGAACGCAAGACCTATCAAGGCCTTGGAAGTTTCGTTGCGAATGCCCCCGGTGCCAAGCTATTGACGACACCAGGGGCATGCAATGCGACCGCTGTGGACCGTGGGGACGTGGAGTCCTGGCGGCTTTTTTTGATTCTATAGCATGACCCATCAGCAAAGGTTGATTTAGCCGGAATGGATACTGTAGTTGGTGAATGTTGGTGATATCTGCTGATGCTCCTGAAAAAAATTGACATAATGACATCCTCACTCTCGTTGTTTCCATCATTTTTCGTGGGTGCAAGCCCAATGTTTTTCGAGATTAAATCCAATAATCCAGTTGTTGCTCAGAGTCCCCCATTTTTGCTGGTGAAAATCTCTGGTTTTTGTGGGTTACATTCCAGTTTTGCGTGGGTTTTGGTTTTGGTGACCCCTTCCAGGCCCTGGTTGCCTTCTCGTGTCCCGTTCCAGGACGTGGATACCACTGGCCTTTGGGGGAAACGTGGTCGCCCTGCAGCGAGTGCAAGGCGGAAGCAAAAGCGGCAGACTTGGAGGAGGCGGGCTGAGCGTTGGAGAAATTTGGAATATCATCTATTACTATCTATATATAGGGATACCCTCTGGTTATGTCAAAATAGCTATTGAAAATGGCCATAGAAATAGTGAGTTTTCCCATTAAAAATTGTGATTTTCCATAGCTATGTTAATTTACCAGAGGGTATATGATATTAATATTATATCTGGAATATCCCTATCTATTTATAATCTTATTACAATATAGGGATATATGATCTAATATATTTATTTATATATATATGATATATAATAAACAATCATATATATATACCATACAGGAGAGCAGGGTTGGAGAGGTAGTGAAATTACAAGGAAGCTCAGTTCGAGTTGGGATAAGGTCATTGTGAATCAAGAATTGGTCAAGATATTTGCCGGTTTAACATGATTGAATCACTGTAACATGGATTACGATATTTGGATGATAGCATGCAATAGCTCTATCAGCGCGATAAGTACTGGTGGCAAATCCTTTTCGATGTTCCAGCAAAATGAGATTGGGATGACAATCCCATTTGACTTGCATTTTTATTTGATGAGTTGAAACGACCAACAAGTTTTGTCCATGACTAAATACGGCCAGATGTGTAACCAGCAAACATGGGAGTTTCAGCAACAAAGATGGAGGTAGAGGCAAACCAAATGAGGGCACACCGAACCACAATGAGTGTACAATAAAAAACAATTCACCAGAGATGATGTTCTTTGAACATTCTGGAAACATGATTCTCTCTTGGTTATTTCCTGGGTGTTTCGCTCTTTGAATGCCCATGAACATTTTGGAGGCAGAACGCTTTTGGCATCGAGAGCCATGGCAGCCATGGCATGCACGCTGCTCTTGATGACTTGATCTTGTCAGTTGTATCCGGAGTGTAGCAAGCACTCTCGGTTTCCACCAGGTTGAAAAACATGTCTCTGCTGAAAGATGTGTGCTTCATGAGTTCGGTTTTTTGTAGACAGAGGTGAAGACATGATTGTAGAATCCTGCACTGTACCCTCTGGTAAACTAACATAACTATGGAACATCACCATTTTTAATGGGAAAACTCACTATTTCTATGGCCATTTTCAATAGCTATTTTGACATAACCAGAGGGTAGCATGAAGTGAGGCAACCACCTGGAGCAAAGTGCTGATGGCACCCCCTGGACCACTGGACACCATCCCACTGCGGTTTGAATCACCGGAATTCTGATCCCTTCTTTTTTTTCAGTTGTCCATAATTGTCCTACTTGCCGGGAGCTTGATGATCACTTCCCAAAATGATATAAAATGATTCATGCAGAGTTTTTTCTTTGTTTACTTGGTTTTCAAAGGCTTTCATTGAGAAAACCTAAGGTTTTTTCTTTGCATGGCCCAAAAACTCTGCCAAAAAAAAGTCCACCGGTCGCCCCAGGAATTGTCACAGTTAGACCGCGCTGGGGACCTCTACGACTCCATCGCTGAAAGGCTCTACGATGCCATGGCAGGTCTGGGATCTGGATGGATCTGGAAAGGGCGAAACCATGGTGATATGTAAAGATGCTGAGTCAACAATGCTCGATCTTAGCCAATCTTAGGTGAGAAGCCAGAACTATATGAAGCCTATGTACTTTGTCAATCTTTGTTAGTTATACTTGTTCAATCTTAGGCTTTGTAGATGGTTGTCCACCCCAGGGATGATCCCCCCGGACTGGCTGTGTCACGAGGCAGTTCCGAACTGCGACCAGCGGCAGGTCGACACTGGGTAGGAACCTTAAATCGCGCAGTCGCCGTCACAGATCGCACTTGAAATCTATGGTTTTCGAAGTTTTTCGCAGTTTCGACCGTTTTTCATTACAGGAAGATGCTACTGTACCTCGAAATACAATATGGAAGCCTCCACATTGAGGCTAGAGGATGATATTTCCAGAGGAAGCAGCAGTTTTTGTTCGCTGTCACCTGTGACAACTGTTGGAAAGATAATCTCAAGACAGCTCACATGACTCATTAAAAAACTTCAGAGTTGACCAATGGCCATGACTCTCATATTTTGCTTCCAAAATGTCTTGGGATGGTTAAATTTCTTAATGGTTTAATCTTAATCAAAACCATAAATGACAAAAACATGTCCGAAAATGACTGCATCCAACTGTCCATTTTCGTGATCACAAACAACCGAAGTTTGGATAATTCTGGTGTACCCCAACTTTCAGAGACACCCAAAATCACCCAAATGTATCCAGTTTTAGTAAATCAATGAGTACTGAGTAGGGTACCATTGCCCCACGACCCCATCGCCAAGGTTCACGCCTTCGCCTGCCGCGCCTGCGCCAGTGCAAGGCCAGGGCGCCTTGCACCGTTGAAGGCGGCCCGGGCGGCGCGGCAGCTGGCAGCCTTTGTGACTTGGCCAGGACTGCAGGTTTCCTAAGTCATGGAGTCATGGGGGTACCACCAACTCATCCAAATTTGACCATGTTCGTATTGAAACAACTATGGTGACGACTGGGGGATCCCACATTTTATGAAGAAACCCCGCTATATCAATATTGCTATTGTATGGGTACCCTCCGGTAATCAGTCACATGGCTGGAAAATCCCCAATTTCTAATGATATTCCCAGGTATGTCTGGCCGTTTAGTTCGGGGATTTCCCAAGGGAGCCATGTTTGAGCAGCGGGGATCCCAACATTGTTCGCTGAAATCTAGTTGTCGTGGATTGAACCTCCTTGACCCAGTTGTTGCCCTCCCTTTTTTCTCGGTTGAAGCACCAGCCAGCTTTTGCCTGTTATGCTTGGAGAGGTCACCTCTCCAAAAAAAAATGTTGGGCATATCTTGGTTCTTGTTGCATAGAAGTTCTGAATCGCAGTCATCATTGGCAAGGCCTCCATATGCTAAACACCTGCATTGTTGTTGGTCATCATGTCATACTCCATTCCTGTTGCGAACGTCCCCCAAGTTTGACTGTTGCCTTCATCATGTCCTATCCCAGTTGTTGGTGGTTGTCACCCCACTATTTCTCTTTCCCAGTGCAGGGGATTGACAACCACCAGCCCTTTAACATCTTCGCGAACATTCATGTTCCTGAAGTTTCTCCCCAATTCTCTCATGTTTTTCAATTTTCCAATATTTCTTCCAATTTTCCCTATCCCATAGGATCCATGTATGGTATATATGCTAACATTTGGGGTATATTGATGGTAAATGTCACCATATATAGCATACATGGATCCTATGGGCTATAGTTTCACCATGTTTCACCAGATTTCAACCCATCAAACTCGGGGAAAAGCCACGGCCTCCACGTCCACGGCAGCGAGGTCAAGCGTCTGCGCCCGGGCTACAGCACCGCGCATGCTGAGGCGCTGCTGCTGAGGGCCACAGCCTTCGCAGGGAAGCGGCTCAAGCCACGGGCGCGTGGCGTGGCGATGGGATCATGGTGGGTATCAGATTAGATATATTAGATATATTAGTGGGTCATGGTTATTGTATGGTATTACTGTTATGTTATAGATTGTTATAGTAGTAGCTGTAGTTTTTTTGATAGTGACTGATAGTGACCTAAGGTTTTTTTTATTTGTTCGTTATCATTATTGGTTTTAACTTATTACTAATTATGTTACTGCTACTAATTATTATGATTTCATTCATTCATGGATGTCCTATGTCATTTTACCATTTTTGCAATGGTCTCACTATGTTGAAACGAATTGGTAGTCACGGTCCGATTGCACTTACCACAGGGTGACGATGGGTAAGAAGATCCAACTGCTCGGGACGCCATTGAAAACTCATATTAGAGCTTTCCTGAAATGGAGGTACCCCAATAGCTGGATGGTTTACAATGGAAAATCCATCCAAAAATGGATGGATTTGGAGGTAGCTCCATTTCAGGAAAGCTCCAGTGGCGCAGCTTCTTTTTGAGACATCCCATTGGGCGGCGACCAGGTGAAGCGTCCCGTTTCTCCCCAGATCAGCTGAGGTTTGCTGATGAATTTCTGGAGCCAGCGGGCTTTGCAAGAAGCAGAGCCCTTGTTGGGTGCCCACCATGAGATGGTGAGGCCAACGGGTCCCCGATGGGTGTATCTGTTGGCGAATGGGACCTGTGAATTGTATAATCAATAGTGTATAATATTGTATAATATTGTGATATTGTTATACATTATTTGATTATTTAGTAACTGCTGCAAACACATGCATTTGGGAATTGTCTCGGTTCTGAAACAGTGTTCATAGTTGCGTTACTATATTGTTTGTGGGTTAATGCTGGATGCTGATGAGTGTAGGGACCCCCCAAAACATTTGAGGGGTTCTCTTTAGGCTGGTAAGTTTTGAGGGACCAGGGTCTGAATAACGTTGGATCATGATCTCAAGTAAGGATTTCAATTGATTGCACTTTACTTTCAATTGATGTTCCTTTTGAAACCTTCAAGAAATTACCTGAAAAGAAAGGATTTCTATTGATTTCAACAGATTTCAATGGATTTAAATTTACTTTCAATTGATTTCAATTTACTTAAGACTTTCAATTGTCAATAGGTAGTCTTTGAACATTGCCATGATTGCGGGTGATTACTGCCGTGGGTTTGTTGTGGCTGTGCTTGCAGGCATTTGAAAGAACTCCAGAATGCGGCGGAGGAAAAAAGGAGCGGTACTGCCAATCTGAAAGTGAGGCCGCCGGTGGATAATCAACCTGGTGGTCCAACCATATTTGTCAAACCAATGGTGCACTTGGGCACGAATTTTTGAGACAAACCTGACACCAAACCGACAATTTTCCCACAGTTTGGAGGAGATCTTTCAAAATCTGTCATTCTGCAAGAACACATTGATAGCAACTGCCCCCGTCATGCTGATTTCATCTGATTTCCATGGTTCTTCAATATTCTGAGTACGCATCAGTGGTGTCAATGCCTACCGAGGCAGCGTGGTATTCTTCACGATTTTAGACCCGAGGTTTTGCCCTCCACGGTGCGGGCTCCAGATCCAAAGCATTGGAAAGTTGGGTCCTGCTGATGTGGTCTACGGAGTCTACGGTTTTCCATTGTTTCCCCAGATGATTCTCCTGCGGTTGTCCCGGTAAATCCAAGCAATTTCGGGGGTCGAAGGGTTTGCCCAGCTGAGGCTTCCTTTGCCATGGTGTTGCTCTTATTAGAGGCCCCCAATCCGCGGGGAGGGTTGATTACACGGTGAGAATGATAGCTGCTGATAGCTATACATAGATGTTTTTGGCCAAGGAAAATGCGTCGCACATCTTTTTCCTTTGCGGTATCCCTTTCGATCTGGCATACTGGTAGATTGGAGGGGAGACGATTTTCCAGTCTTCTTGGATTACATTGCTGACATTGTCGGTGACCGACTTCAGGTAGCATTTGCGGAGATCCCAATCCGTGAAACAGTTCATCCTTGCAACAATTATTTGCAGGTTTGGGGGAATTCTGGTCTTTTTGGCGGCGATGAAAGGGGGAAACAGACCCTGGTTTGTCTCATGCATTGCTATTGACTCACCCGAAGGTGGCTGAGATGTTTGCATAGCGGGAAGGTCCACTGGACATGCTTAGCTGCCTGGATGTTTGCTGCTGATGTTTTTTTTTTGGGGCCCAAGAACTTAGCTGGCCACAGGGTCTTAGCTGGGGCTTCAGCAAGAGCTTTGCCACGGGCACCGCAAGATCACTTAAAGGGCTTTGCTGGTTGTAACATTTGTAAAACCGCATTGTTTTTGACATGCGTTGGCCCTTTCATATTTGCTTGAGCAAAGTGGACATTTCTCTTCCGCAAACCTTAAATCGGGTTGGGCCCCGCACTTTTTGGGTGCCATCCAGATCCACTCCCCAGCAACAAAAAACACCCAGCCCCAACAGGAATGGCAACTCCGCAAGTGTTGGTTTGACATAGTTTGACAAGAGGTGGCCAGGAAATTTGAATGAGACCTTGAACATACCCAAGAAACAGTCATAGTTGAAGAACTGGCCTCCAGTAGGTCGCATTTTTGGGTTCCGACGCCATGGCCGAGACAAGTCTAGGACCGAACCCGCGAAAGCTTCTGGCGGAGCAGCTACGGAGGTTCGACTTTCCGCCCCTGCCCGAGAGACCGGGCCTCGGGGAACTCTGTGCAGCCATTGAGAATGGTCCCAGGGGTCAGGAGCAAGGAGTTTCTGCGATTTCATGAGCGCCTTGAAGGACAGGCATGGATAGGCTACCATGGCTGGTTTTCACCATGAATATGTTCCCAACATCAGAATCATGGGACCTTGAAGCATTTCTAGTCTAAGCCATCAACTGGGGAAGTCATGAAACTTGGACCCCGCTCTAAGGTTGGAGAACTTGACCCCCTAACCATTAGCCAGTCTCAGACCATTTTTTTTTGGAAGATCTATTGAAGCTGTATGGGAATGATTGCCATCTGCCCAGGACAGGTAAAGCTCTGGCGCCTCGATGCCTAAGAGCGATGGGCGCGGCTGAAGAAATTGCAGCTTGAGCTGCTGGAAGCGGAGAGCTTGGAGAGGCTGAGAAGGACATGGAGGAGCTGCTGGATCTGATGATCATCTAAGCAACCCATAGTAATCCACCATTTCTTGGCACCATTCTGTTTTTTCCTCTCTGTTTCCTTAGTTTGGAAGAATGTCATTGCGGTCGGGTCGGGTGTATCTGGATTTGGACTGATGCGGAGATTTGTTTGATCTTTTCTTGGGGCTGGGATGGGCTGGCTAGTGGGTGACTGCAGCAGCAAAATTGGATAGAATCATGGATAATGTGGCATAGCTGGTGGTTTCGGGTGGTCGCCACGGCTTCCCAATCTTCCCAACATTTTCCCATCCTTTCCAGCCAGGAGCAGGAGCGAATCAGATGAATCCGGTGAAGGGGGCCCCCGAGCCGGGAGAACTTGAACTTGAAGGATTGCAAGCCGGTGAAGCCCTGGATAACGCGAGATCAGACCTGCATGGGGCCGTATATCCTGCCACACATCCAAGCCAGAGGGAAAGATGGCTCGATGCACAAAGTTCAGAGCGAAACTTTGTGCATCTGGCCACCTTTTTCTCTTGCTTAGATGTGTGGCAGGATGGATGGGAAAAAGATAGGTGAAAACAGATGAATAAAATTAATTCATAAATTAGATGCTTCAAGAATCAAAAGCTGACTTTTGGCGGGACAGGAGAGCTATACAACCTACACAGTTTCAATCAGTTGTACAGGTATATATGCAGTTCTCATTTTTCTCTTGGAGGCCACTGTCCTGACCACCATTTAGTTGACTGATGCCATCGTCTGTCAAGTCAAAAAAACATGCTGGATGTGTGGAAAAGTGGAGTTTTGCTTGATGTGCAGGATCTGGTTTAGAAAATTGTGAGGTCATGGTGAGAACATCCATTCAGACCATTAGTTCCATCCGTATATTCAAATGATTTTAAATGTATGTTTTAAATAAATTCGATTCCGTATGTTTGAATGGCCGGGTGGGCCAAGGAAAACTCCTTCCCGGAGGTAGTCTAAAAGACCAGTTCGCAATAGTTCGCATATTTAGATTTCCGTAGATGTAGTTACTGTACAATATATAGATATATGATATAGATTGATATAGAGTATACATGTTTGGCATATAAATCATATAATCATGTTTTAGATATGAGATGTGAGGGCTATTCAGGGCTCATGTGATGTCAATTTTGGCATCAAAAAATCAGGTGGGTCTCGCGAAGATGGGTTTCTACGTTGTTGGCAGCGCCGTGTATTCGCCTCAGATCTCTGGCAGCGATGTGCCATGTTTTGCCCCTATCCAAAGGGGGGGCCCTTGAGGCATCCAAAATGGAGGTACTCGTAACTGCTATGGCTATGATCTTCTATGGACATATGTTGCTGGAGATTTCCTCAGCATTCCCCTAGTTTTTTTTCATATAGACCAGAAAGATCTTATGCTACGCAAGTCGTAGGATATTCGTAGGATGGGATGTGAAGAGACTCATTCTCTGAGGCCATTTTTGGAGATCATGGCGAATTGCAGCTACAAGTACGTCCAGGTTGGGGTGCTTGGAGTCCATCATAGTCAACCAGGATGGTTGCCAGGTTGCCAAGATTTTTTTGGGGGGTCCAATGCCACTCATCCGCAGAAAAAGAATGATGACCAGAATAGTCACAATGATGTTGCAAGACCCCCTTCTGATGTAGAATTTTAAATGAAACAAACATGTAGCTGATGCATCATGGCAGCTTTAAACTTTGACCACTGGACTCAAAGCAGTACAATAGCTGAACTGATGATCCTCAACATTGTAACATGCCGTTGGAGTTCCCAAATTCAAACACGTGAAGCTTCACAAGAGGTTTGCAGTGGAAAAAACCGTCTATCTTCACAAAACCGTCTATTTTCAACATATAACAACATGTCATAGACATGAGTTTGTCTGAAAATGGGGTACCCCAGGATCCATTGGTTTGCCATCGATGTTGGTTATCCCATGAAATCGTCATGATGTCCCCACCCCACCTGCCAAGGTAACCCTTATGGTCATCGCCAGGATCTGGGTTCAGTTTCTTCTTTGGGTGCAGGGTAGCAGGGTCAAACATCAAACTCCATGGGCTTGATTTTTGCAGGATGAACACACACACAAATTCATATATATATATACGTATATACGGTATATACGTATGTATTATGTATAATATGTACAGCAAAATATATATATAATATTTATAATACAATATAATAACAATAATAATGATGATGATAATAATGATGATGATGATAATAATAATAATAATAATAAATAATAATATATAATAATATATAATAATAAATAATAATAATAAGAATAGTAATAATAGTACTAATAATAATACTACTAATAATAATAGTAATAATAATAGTAATAATAATAATATATACATATATATTATACATATACACAGCGTATATGATAGCGAATTACATCATATGTAGCTGTTTTCCAGCTCTTTTGGGAGAACCCAAAGCCAAATGGAAAAAAAACACCGCTAAGTTGCCTTGGGGGTTCATTGGGCGGCTGGATCTGCCAGGATACTGACGGGTCCCAACATGAAACTTGTCAGCAATGGTCAGGCAATGGCTCCAGTGCAGGAGAAACTTGGGACTGACCCCGAAAAAAAAACGCAATTTTCATGGGGAAAATTATGATGCACCAGTGGGTTTCAGGGCTATTTTCAGACTAACCCCATAAAATGGACCTTTGTGAAGACAGGATCCTCAGTTGATGGAACCAATGCAAACTGTGCCTAGGATCTACTGGGTCTTCTTTGCCTACTTTGCAGCCTGTGCAGTTTTGTGCCCCAGGGGCTGGGTATTTTTTTCACGCCTGGTCCGGTTCTGCAGTGAGCTTTACGATTTTTCCCCTTACAACTGGCTATCAACGATGGTTCAATTGCATTTCTAGTGATGTAGGCATATGTGATCGTTCAATCACTATTTAATATTACTATAGTTTAAACACATATAAACACATATATACTTGTAACATGTCAGAAATCGGAAAACCTAATTGCAAAGCCGAGCCCCATCTGTTTGCGTCAGAGGCTTGGGTGGTGCGTCGCTTTCTGCTGCATTTTGAGCCTTCCGGAATGAAGGAGCAGTGGGGTGCCTCAGCAGTTGTCACGACTCGGAGCTAGTTCTGGCGCCCATTTCTGGCTCGCCGAGGTACGGTGTTGCACCCAGTGCCATGCATGGCCATGTGATCCTCGGGTGTGGATCCCCAGTTGAGATTTCGGGATTCGATGGAAAGGATGCTGGCAATGAGATCCATGGAAACTGCGGCTGGCTCCGAGTCTACGAGTGATTCTCAAATATTCGAAATCTGTTCCTCAACCGTGATCTCCATGATGATATTCTGGATATGTGTCCATGTATGTCCATAGTATATGTGGATATCTTTTGCACCCCAGATCACCCCAGATCATCTGCTGGGTTTGCCGATTGCCCCCTTTTGCCAATGGTGCAGGTTGGCTGTGGCCCAACTGCCACTGTGTTGGCTCCTGACCCCTTCGGCTGTGGCGGCAGCCGCAGCGGCACGGTGATCAACATCACAGGAAATCAAAGAGCTAGGCATAGCTAGGCGGAGAGCCTCTGACAGAATATATAGCCGCTATAGCCTGGACATGTAGTGAAGTTTAATCTCTGAATTTTCTGAATTGACATTCAACTCTCTACCAGTTGCTTCAGAATCACGTACTGTGTTCCCCCTTAATTCTGAGAAGAGGCAATATTTATTGGGCCCATGTTTGCATGGATTATGATCATTATGTTGGCAGTACGGAGTGAATCAAACCTTCAAGCCTTCCGGTAGTTGTGCTCTTCAGCACAGCAACTCCCCAGTTGGAGTTGAACAAGAGACGGCCGCCGCTGGCAGTTCGCTGAATAGCGAGCCCCAAGACGGTGTAAGCGACCAAGGAAAAGACCACTTTTCTGCATCTTTTGCTGGTGTGCGTTTCTTGATGTTGAGACAAGCACGTTTGAGACCCTTTCGAATTTTCTTGAAGATTTCGGATATTTCGGAAGGCTTTGAGCAAAACCCACACACAACTGCGTAGTGATGTCGAATGCTGTTGATTGTCTACTTGGTTCGGCAAGATGACCCAAAATTCCAAAAGGCAGAAATAATATGAAATAATTCCCACACCGCAGCGGTTGCGTTGCAACAACCACTTGAATATTTTTCATTGCCTTTGGAACTGATGCTGCCTCTCAAGTGCTCAAAGATGAAGGCACAAAAGGAGGGTGACCAATATCACCAGCGTTTGGGTGCAAAAGATGTGGTGCCAACTGGGTGCCAGCCAGAAACTGCTACAAACATACGAATCAATGCCTTGACTTTGGCAGATTTGACTATTGAGTGCCGGCAAAGTTAAGAATCAACATGTCAATTTGAGTCTCCGTGACTTGTATCGCTTGTCACTTTCTTCAAACATTATCTCAGAAATCTATGATATATATATATATAATATATATGTGTGTATGTATATATATATGTACACATTTTTAGCATATCTTAAAGCGAGCAGAGCCCCAAAATCGCTCCCCAGCTCCCCGAAATTCCGTGGTACCGCCACCGGCCGCTGTCCCGAAACACCATGGCCTCCGCCCGGCCGGACGTCAACGGCCCCGCGGAGAAGCTGATCACAGAGCTCCAGCAGAGTCGAAAGATGCACATGATCGAGTATTTGCAGGTGCAATGGATGAGGAGCATTGAGGATATTTCCATATTTTTCCATATATTTCCTGATTTTCTTTGATTTGGTGAGGCTAAATGTGTCATCCTATTTTAAGATCATTTGGGATAAATGATATAAATGATAGTTGGCCATTTACAATTCTCATTTCCATATCCGTTTTATATCCATCATTTATCCATTATTTGATAAATGTGATAAATGGAATATAGATGGGAAGCTCCCAATTGATCAATTGATGATCGAGCACTTGCCAGATGCAATTCATGGGACATTTCTGGCCGTTGGATGGGATTATGGGATGGAAGATTGATCCATTTATGATGAGTACTTGTTGCGATGGATGTGATGGGATAGAAACCTTTTTTGGAATGCACCACAGTATGAATTTATTGAAAACCAGGAGGAATGGGATTCCGGATGAGGGAAAGCTCCCTGGTTTGATTTGGTCATTTCTGGTGAAAATGATGACTGCACAGTGGGGGGAACCCGATTTGAGATGGGGATATGGGGGAACCCCAAGGATAACATGTCGGGATATGGGAGGTTTGGTGTTTTTTGGGAGATGACCATTTTACCGAAGTTTTGCTAAGCTGTCATTTCACTTTCAAGGTTGGGTCTTTGTAGAGTTTGGCTAGCCTTGGCAAGGATCCAGATTACACGAAGGGTTTGTCATATCTAACGGTATCTAACATCTGATGAATCTATCTAGCAGCTATCTAGGTGACTGAGGCGAAAATATCGACTGTGTCATATCTCAAATAAATTCTGCAAAACCAGCCTCGCAGGCAAAACTACTGGAAGATCAGCGTCGGAGCTTGAAGCATTTCGAGTGCGTTCAAAGTGGTCTTAGCATCTTGGCTGTGGGCCTAAAAAACCCGAAAATTTCAGCAGCTTGTTAAACAAGTCTATACTTTTTGCTGCTGAAAATCCCTGATGGATTTCCATCATGTTTGCTGGTTATACCATTAAACCCCAAACTGTTTGCAGCTTCCAGTCCCGCCAATCCTGCCAGGCATTATGCGTGCTGGCGCCTTGCGTTCGCGCCCATCCACCTCCCCAGCGGCCAGTATGGCAGCTGCCACCGTCCCGTGGCGGGTTGGGAGGACATCACTCACCAAGGCAGTAAAAGACCCAGGGCCCCCAGATTTCGGTAGTAATATGTAGTAATAAACCATCACAATCATCACATTAAGTGAAGGATGGGCCAATTTTGACTCCGATGATCATTAGGTCCACATTACTTAGTGACTTAGTGACTTAGTGACTTAGTCTCTATTCTTGAGACATCTTGAGACATCCCCCAGCTGGATGTAGCTGTTATCCCATGGTATCCCACGGGCCCATGGTCCAAGGCGGACGATTTGGGGCTTCAGCGACTGTCCTTTTCAGAGACCTTACGCGCGGAGGTCGAAGCCTCCAGGCCCTGGGCCGTTCCAGTCGTCATGGATGGCCATGACTTTGTATAGCTATGTACAGGTTAACCTATGGTGACGACTGGGGATACCCACTTAGGCTATGTATAATTATGTATAGGTTAAGCATGGTTAACCTATGGTGACTGGGGATCCCTCATGACTTAAAGGAAGTCGAAACAAAGGCCAGATTGTTTGAGTTTCTTTTCTCAATTTGACCCCTGAAAGATTGCCAATGTGATTTTTTGAAGTAGAAACCAACAACAGTTTTGTTTCGTGGTTGTCCATCCATAAACCCCGAGTGTTGAATGCTATAGATAGTATGTTTTTAATGACTAATGTCCGGTATTGGTGATAAAAAAATAAGAAGAATGCCAATCATAGCAATATCATTGACAGTAACAACGACAGTGATACTCATAATCATAATCAAAAGAATGAGTATGACATTGAACACAATAAGAACTGCTCAATTCATAGTATTGATCATTCGTAATTCGGAAAAAATCCATAGTGCTGATGAGAATAATCACAATAGTAATCTTAGTAATGATTGTCACAGTAGTAAAGATAATTATTATATAATGACAATTAGTAATCACAATAAGACTGATTTATAACAATTACAATAACACTCACGATAATAAAATGATGATGATAATATAAGTAATGATAATAAACACAATGATAACAATGATGATATCAATTACAGAAACCTTGCAGTGACTTTAGTAGTTTTGTAATTCCCCACAGTACTACCAACAATAATAGTCATCATACTCGAAATCTTATTTGGTTTATTATTACCATTTGTACAATAAATGTTCATATACTATGGTAACAATCTCAATAATGATTGTACACGTAATAATAGTAGTCACAATAATGATCATAATCACATCAATCATAATAATAACAATAATAACAACAATCACAATCACCACAATAATCATACAAGTAGGTAAGAATAGTAGTCACAGTAATCATAACAATACCATACAATACCCATAATCACACCCATTGTCAAAACTTATTCTGAAAAATGATTGACATGAACTAATATTACCATCTTATCAATCATCATCATCCATATCCATCATCTGAATGAACAGCGGATACATCGTATACTCATTCTCATATGAAACATGACCATCTCAATTATGGATTATACGAAAAAGTGATAATGATGATGATTAGGCGATTATGATGATGATTATCACCATCCATAACCATTATGAACATCAATGGATTGGTTTGAGTGAAACATGTGAAACCTCCCAGGCCCCTGCCCCGGCTGGCCCGGCTCACCCGGCTCCAGGTCCGCCTGTGGCATCGGGCCAGAGGTCAGCCGCACCAAGACAGCCCCGGAGACCGCGACCACGTGGCTCGGCCTGACCTGGGAACGGGGGAAAAACGGAGGGTGGTTCAGTTTTGTTCATCGTTTTCTTTTTTTTTTTGGCTTTCAATACTGAGAAAATTGGGCTTCATGGTTGAAGTTGATCAAGAGAAAACGGGGGTTGAGATTAGTTGAGATCAACAAGACTTGGGAGTTCAGCAAAGGTAAATTGTCAGACCAAAACTCAGTTCACTTTGATTTCATGCAAAGCGCTGCACTCATGTGATGTATGGACAGTTATATCGATCAAACAGAAAATGGTCAAGACCTTGGAATTGCTGACCTTGAAACGAAAGATGTTTGTGGTATTTTGAAGCTGAATTATTCCCAAAAGATCATTTGCAAGTGGGAAAATGTGGGAAATTCCATGGCATCGGGACCTGAGGATGGCCCAAATCCCCGAGCAACCAGAGCTGGAGCGGCCGAAAACCACTCCCGGCACCAGAGATGGCTCTCAGAGTCTCAACACCCGTGGCTTCAAATCGATGAAGACGGCCGGCACGGTGAAGTTTCAAAGCGCCAGTGGCAGTGGCCCCTTGGGGGCGACTCGGAAGAAATGCTGGGTTTGACATGGTTTGACAAAGACAGCGACTGCAAAAACAGGCAAGTGAGATGTAAAATATGAAGCATGACCACTGACCACTATACTTTTCGGTGTTGCCAGACTGTGCCATAGCTATTGTCTGAATTCAATGGTAGACAAGGGAATCTGTGGGGAAGATTCCTTGTATTTCCTTGTGTACATTGGTGTCATGAGCTGTCATGGTCAGATTTCGATCAGACGCCTGAGATGGGAGATGAAGAAATTGAAGCTGAGTGATAGGGGGTCAAATGGGGTTAATATATGAATGAGTCATGATTTAACGGGGGTTTAAATGGGGGTAAACGGGGTCAATATAATTTCAATATATAGGTGTTATCAAAAACAACATGTTTTTCAACAGAAGTAGAACTACCACTCAAACATTTACCCAAACTTCATGCTCTCCGTGTTGATATTTTATAGCTCACATTTTCAGTTAACGGTGGCGCCGTCAGGTGAGTTGGACCGATGAGGAAGAGCAGGAGTTCTACCGCTTTCACGAAGAGTCCTTCTATGCCTCGAACGTTCGCGACCTCACTGGCCTGAGCGACCAGGCTTTGTTTCGTCAAAAAGGCCAAAGCAAAGTTCTGCCGGGGAGCCCAGGGGGATTGGCTGGGGACGGCAAAATCATGGAAGGTGATTGGTTTTTGTTAATCCCATGCCGTTTTTTGAATGGATTATTCACCAATGGATTATTAAACCATATTATATATATAAACCCAATTGAATTATGGGGGTTGAGAAAAAATCAAGCCATACTCGGAGATGGATTCGTTCGCCCAACTAGTGACTTCGGTTGCTGCACCCTGTGATATGAGAGAATGTTATCAAACACTGATGTCCAACATAAATATCAAGAGTGTCACTGGTGATATCTCATAAAGACAGATCTACATTCTTTGTAAGCTCTCTCTCTCTCTCTTTCTTTCTATCACTCTATTGGGTAGGTGGTGCCAACTGCAGCTTATACCCGAAGGCCTTTTGGAGCTGACTTCGCTTTGTTCTGCAGGTCGCAAAGCAGCGATGTGATCACCTTCGACTTTGGTGCGATTCTCAGGACGGCCCAATCCTGCGAGAAGCGTGAGGATGATAATTGAGCCGGTTCAAATCATCTTGCACAACTAGGTCAGGCTCTCTATTCAAACATCGGATGTTTGGGTAACATCCCATGTAAAAAAGTATCTTGTATTGAATTGGGAAAACCATCTACAAATTTACACACGGATGATTTTCAAGTTGCAGGTCACATTACCAACACGGGGGTACCCCAAAGTTCAGTTGCTTACCTGCAGCCTGGCAGTGTAAAAAAGCCATAAGTGATGCCGAGGTGATTTGGGTCGACGACTAGCGATCGCGGATCGAGAGGCTGTTCCATTTCAAGTCTGAAATGGCTGTAATTGAGGATTATCCATGATTGTAAATAATCCATGATGGGAATTATGACGACATGATGGGGATTATAGTGGGATCACCCTGGTGATTATGGTTGTAATGGTCACTAGTACTAACCTTACCCTTAGATATTCACTTATTTGATGAACTGGGTCATGGTTGTCGCCCGTCATGGACCGTTGCAGCAACATTTAAAAGTAGCGATTGCCCAGTCATGGTGCCCGATTTCCAAGAAGGGCAAGTATGTGGCATCCAACCTTATCCATGCTACGTATATATATATATATATATGTATACGTATACCTATATACATATATTTGTGGATGTATATATATATATAATTAAATATACTATATATATATATACATATACATCCTAACCTTTTTACGTGCTGCAAGCTGCCGCCTGCCATATGTCGGTCCTGCGCATCCGAATAGCATCCGTTCTCATTGATCTTTGAGAATCTGTAGCACTGCAGGGCCAGCTTTCTGTGTGGAATGTCCGGGGCACAGTGGAAGGGCTGAGGGCTATCACCAGAGAATCTGCATGGTTTTTGTGGGTTTCCTGGAATCTATGAACTATGAACTGGAAATCTGTGTCTGCAGTTTCTGCACCCTTGATATGTCCTTCATGCCGCTTAAAAGATGTAAAACCATGTAAAACCTCTTCAGCCGTGCATCACAAGTAGGTAGACTGCAAAGAAGTACCAAGCATCAAACAAACAAATCAAGATAAATCAAGTATGGCTATGGGCACAGAAGATCCAGGGATACAGGGACCATGGCTGCCATAGCCCCTCAATTCTCCCAGCTTGGTGCTGAGGTGGCAGATCGAGAAAAGATTTGGTCATCATCGATCTCCTCTTGTACAACCATGGCCTTTTCATTGAGCTTAGACCTCAGTTTCTCTTTTAAAGCAGGAAGCAGAACTGGGCTGGGGCCCTCAGGCCCCTACCACTGAAATCCTCCAGCTGACATCCGAAAAAAAGTTCGATCCATGGGCGAGATTCCGGAACCAATGGCTGATATTGGAACCATTTGGAACCTATGAATACAGCAAGAATTGGGGCTAATTATGTGGGCAATCCATGAATGTACCATTCATTTCCATTCTTTTTTGGGCAATGCTACGAATGTGCCTAGTCAGCTCTGCTAAGCCAGGTGGAAAATTCATCGCAGCGGTCAACAATGAAGGACTCAGCCCGATGAGCTTCACCTTTGGGGGAAGCAAATTAGTATCAAAATATGATGTCATATTCTTGGTTTATAATATTTATATTTGACATGATAAATAATGATATATATATACAATATATATATATATAATATATTCACATCAAATGTCTCAACATCTATCAATATCGAAATCGTCATGGCCAAGTGTTCTTTTTTGATTATGAAGATTGGCACGCCAATTTTTCATGGCGATTTTCTCTATTCTGTGGCGCCCCAGTTTTCATCCGAGGAGTGATCCACTTTTGGAACTTGAGCTCTAACCCACAGTCGGCTCCTCTCCAAACCTTCAACGCTGGTAGCAAGGCGGACATCGGCGCGGGATGGGATGAGCGTTTCCCTGGTGTCATGGTTTGGATTCCCAAACTTATTACCAAACTTGTGTGATAGAAATATCTCTATTTGCCTATGATTCTATGAATGAATTGAATAGTTTTATTTTTCATTAAATTTCTGTAAATTCCTGAAGCCTGGGGCTTTGCTGCCAGATGGCCAGTTCTTGCCAGCTGGAGTACTTGGGGAAAGTACCCTCCAGTCCAGCAATTATTTTAAGAATATCAAAGAGTTTATTGGCTACAAATTTCTTTTCCAGCAATCTGATCATATTTTATCATAGTTTCTCGTAGTTTGTCCAATTTTGTACTATTTTGTACTATTTTATCATAAATTATCGTAGTTTATCATATCCTATCCATGTTGCTTGTTAAGAACGGGATTCCCTGTTCTTGGATGTTTATCATGTTAGACTAATAACCCCCGAACTCATCATCAGCCCACCATCATTGATTCATTTATCAATGAAATCCGATGGAATCCATAGTTTTCATGCTGAAAAAGCCTATAAAATGCTGGTTGAATTCCCATTTTTAAGGGATTTCGCAGCCACCACGGGCGAGAGGTGAATGCGTTGGCCTTCGCCGATAAGGGACTAGCACTGTCCACGGCTGAGAAGGCGGGGATCTCAAGGGGTTGGGTCAGATGGTGGGAGCCCCCAAAATAAATGGCAAGTTGGGGAATGATATGGGACTGTTCTTTTCGGAGTCTCCAATGTCGAGAAACAACATGACACAAGCATAAGGTACCAGGTTGTTGATCCATAGATATCCATACATATCCATAGCCAGAATCCCTTTGGGCTCATATTTGTTCGTGGGATATCTGGGCTCCTTCGAATATCCACTGGGAGAGATGTTGGGATGCCAACGGGCCTGGAAGCATCCAGGTGGTGCTGCTGGCAGCTCCTTCTTTGCAGGAGATCTTGAATCTGATCGTTCCGATGCCATACGATGGGCATAAAAGGTGTTGCTTAAAAAGGAAACAACAGGGATTCTTGGGATCATTGAAGCATCTGGACGTATCACACACTGGAATTTGAGCATGGCCCATTTTCATCAATGTCGATCCATCAAAACAAAACGCAAGAAATCAGATGTCCAGTGTTGGCACTGCTATCAGGAGGTGGCGGTTCTTCCTCAAACTGGTGACGTGAGAGAGTTGCTGGACTGAAAGTTTCAATGAATGGATTGTGCTGTGGGATGCTGTGGGTTTGTCCCTTGAAATGGCTTGGAGTCCCCAGTAGCCACAACATGGTCCAGTTTGGTAGTGCTATGAAGTGCTATGAAGTGCTGTTTTTTTTTTGTTTTAAGCTATAACTGCACTTCATAGCACTTCCTGGATTATGATAGCTATAACTATAATTGCACTATGATAGCCAAAGATTTTGGAAGTACGCGGAGTTTTTAGGACAGCGCCCAAGGCTGTCCTTTTCTCCTGATGGTGCCTTCTTGGTGGCTGCTGGACTGCACGTGGCCTGGTTCCTCAGAGCTGCTGGAGCCTTCTGACAGCCCCACACTTGAAGTTGAACTGATTGGAATTTACCCTCTGGTAAACGTTTACATAACTATGGAAAATCACCATTTTTCATGGGTAAATCCACTATTTCTATGGCCATGTTCAATAGCTATGTTAAATTACCAGAGGGTATTGCTAATGTCAACCCCGGATCGAACCAATATGAACCACAGTTGATTCATTAGGGGTAAACCCTGCCCGAAGAGTGATCATCCGATACATTTACGTGGTACCGCCCAAATTAAATCATATTAAATCTAGGATTGACATGACAGATTTTTTTTTCCATGCAGAAACTTAGTCCTATTGATCTATGAACCCGTTTGACACACAGACTCACGCCATCATCATCTAATCTTTTGTTGGCAAGATTTAAAACCTTTGATCACTAAATCTCATTCAGTGTTGAGATTTTGTCCATTATACATCCATATACAGTCATAACGTGTATCTACATATATATGTATATATATTATCAAAAATGATATGCATCACATGTATATATATATATATATATAATTATATATATACAATATCCTACATCTAACTAATTTACATCTGATATATCCACAAGAACTTTTCCGTTTCGCCATGGGTTCCCAAGGATCCCCGCTCCAGCATCATGGTGGAGGACGGCGATCCCAGTGCAGGAGCTGTGTTTTGGTCCGTCACCGACTCCTTTCGGAGGCCGGGAGGGTGACCCATGGAGGGTACAGGATGAGTCCGATGTAGCGACTGTAGTTTCTAGCGGAACGAGTTAGTTTGAGCACTTTGTTTATTGTGTCTATCGCTATGATATGCTATGATATCATATATATATATTATATATTATATATATACACCATCAGATGTCTAAGCTTCAACTTCATGAGTCAAGACCCGGCATGTCCAACATTGTCCAACTGTTTGTTGTACTCGATCTGGCAGATCTGGTACCCCAAAGATCCACAAAGATCCTGGTTCCTCCATCAATGGTCGTTCTGGCTGTTCGACTGGAATTTTCCATCCGAGAGTCTAGAAATGGTTGGCAGATTGAGATGGACCAGCTGGAGGTTTGTTTGGGAGTATAAATGCTCTTCTTAAAGATAATTCAAAGTTGGGTATTGCATGGTATTGCCAAAATGTTTGTATACTGCCAACATGATTGGTTCAATGAATTACTGAGACCTTCCAAACTTTGCCTGAAGAGGGTCTTCAGGGTAGATAGGTCTGGTGTCACCGACTAGTACGCCAGGCTGGGTGCTATGGTTTTTCGACAAGTTCTCCGTGCCACCACGTGGGTTCACTCGGTTTTATCGCAACTTTGGGGCAGTTCCATTGCACAGACATTAACAGCTGTTGGATACTGAGTTCAAATATTTTCCAGCCACTGTTTCTGCTTCACCTTTGGATCAGCGTGTTTGGAGTCAAATCTTCGTTGGATGCACCAGAGTTCGCATGTGGCATGTCCAGTGAGAAACATTCGATGCCACTCCCGCTTCAGTTCCCGGCGCCCTGGCAGGTTCAGACCTGATGGAAAGCTTTTGGCCCTGGCAGGTGATAATAAACTCATTGCCGCCAGCTTAGTGAAAAAAACATCTGACAGCAACGCATCTTGGCGCTGCACTTGCCGGTCCCATCGGTCCATAGCTGGTCCCATCCGAGACCCTGTTGGACGTGTTGAACGACTTTGATCATGATGGTGACCTGCCTGGAGCCCCAGGGACGACAAATACCTGATGTACCCCCTGGCGGTTGGTGAAGTTTTCCCCGAGTTTCCCTCGGCTGGGGCCAATTCTGAATATTTACACACGTGCTTTCATAGAAAAAAGAGACCAAGGATTTCTGGATCCATTGGTGCGCCAGTTTCAGAAAATTCAGCGGTGAGATTTCCATGTTTTTGACTTTTGATGGTTAAATCATGTTAAATTTACTCTCTTTTTTTTGCTTTTTTGGTGATAGAATCATCTTAAATCACCATGTTTGAGGATTAAATCATGCTAAGTCACCATATTTCATGGTGAAAGCTTCCCATGACCATCGGCTCTTAGCTGAGGCCATGTGGTCAGCCCGTGAGGGCTTTGGCTTGGAGCGGGGCAGCCTGGGGTCTTTCGCGAGGATGGGTGAATGAACGGTGGATGAGTTGCCAAACTATAGGGTCTACCCCAAAACATCCAAAACTATCTGGTTGGTGGTTTGGAACCACTGAATTTTATGACTTTCCATATGTTGGGAATTTCATAATCCCAACTGACTTTCATGTTTTTCAGAGGGGTTGAAACCACCAACCAGCTATAGATGGGGTCTACCCCCCAAAAATGCCAAAGATGAATAAACATGTTACAATGGGAGAAAGAATGAGAAAGAAATGAAGATGATGATAAACGATGACAAAGCCCATTTTTTTCTTGGGTGGGTACCTTATTATCTTCAGACAAAGCCACACATAGATGGACATGTCAAATCCAATCCTAAGATATCGAAGATTCAGGGGTAAACTATACTTTATATAAATATCATTCAATTACTGTTCTGTCTTTTTTGTGAGGGGTACAGTGGAAAGTGGTTGGTAGCCACAGCTATGTCCAACTCTCTTCATCTACCCATGAAGATGATTTGATCCTGCAGTTGTTGCAGGGGCTTTTGTGAATGGAGGATGGGGGTTTTAGCTTCAAGGTTGGTGTCCTGCGATATAATAATACATATATATATATATACGTATACATATTCTATGTATGTGTATATATATATATACATTATGTATACATACGTATGCATAATTATTGTCAGGCAGCTAGATATAGTATAATACAGCCACTTCCAACTGGTAATGGTCATGTGAGAAGGTGCCAGGTAAAGTCTACCAATGTCTACCAATGTCACGCCAACGTCATAAGTTGGTGATCTCACTTATAGAGGTTGGCTAACCGCAAGAACGCTGGGATAAACTGTTCGTCATGTTGAGAAATATCTCCACTAAAAACAGGGAAATCAGTGTCAAATAGTCAACGGCAATTTCAGGATCCTAATTTTTTTTGTGGTACTGTAACATATATATATAAGGCATTATTTTGTGGTGATATTCCCATTGAAATAGTGGCATTTCTTTTTGGGATGCGGATGCCGCAAACCCTCCCAGGCCCCAACCTGCGATGTTTGGCTTCGGGGGGAGAAGACCATACGGTCACTGCCTGGTGCCCCAGGGGGTTATATAATGTGGGTAAAACCATGGTAAAACCATCATAAACCAGCCCATGTTTAATGGATTTATATGGATTTATAGCACCCATTGGGGATGGTTTACTATTGTTTTAACCACATATAACAAGATGATGGACACATACCCTCTGAAACTGGGTGATGAAAGCAACTTGTTCAACTTGCACGATAGTTCATGATATTTCGCCGCTTGCGCCAACAACATGAGATTGCGCCAGTAATTTGATATTCTGCAGCCACTCGGTTCAATCGGATTTTCCAAACGACTGGGACATAGACCTAGTAGATTTGGGTCATTTTTTCCTACCATTCTGCTGTTGATCTGCTGGGTCGCTGGGTATAGTAGTGCTCATGTTTTTTCTGTTGGGTGGTGATGTTTTCAGCTATCTATGTTCTATATCATTCTTGATACATATTACTACTGTATATCTAGTTTAGTTGTTACTGTGGTAAACCCAATGATAAACTCTCCCATAGGATCCCCCTTTTTCTACGAGAAATGGATTTTTATATGGCTGGTATACCCCATCTCCAAACCCCATCTCCAAATTCTCCCGCTTCATGGCATTGGGTGAGTCCCAGAGAGATGTGGATGTGTCATTTACCCTCTGGTAAACTAACATAACTATGGAAAATCACCATTTTTTATGGGAAAATCCACTATAACTGGCCATTTTCAAAAGCTATGTCAGCCATTACCAGAGGGTAGGGCCTCCAAGGGTTGGGACCTCTGAGGTTTGGGATCTCGCTTCGAAGCATGTCCTGTTTCAGATGGATCCCATGAAGGCGGCATGGAAGGGATCCATGGGATCCATGGGATCGGTGCGATGGGAAATTCCATGGCGTTTTTTTCTGGTTTAACATGGCGCCATGGTTTTTCGATGGCCCATAGAAATAGATGGTTTACCATGGTTTACCTATTGAAAATGGAGGTTTTGTGGGTCTTTAAGTCCCAGCTAGTGGATCTAGCTAGTGGATGCTGGAAGAACAAGTCTTCCACTGCAGCTGAGAGGGTCCAGGCGCCTGGACGGTGGAAAAACCGACCATAACAGAGATGGAGAATCTGCAGGGCTCCTGCAGCGTGGCCCAATGTGTTTCGAATTCTAGAACATCAACATACATCAATAATCATCAATAATCATCAATACATGTTTGAGTTTGACACGAGTACATGGCGTGTAGTGTAGATGTAGATCAGACTCAAACATGTTGAGCCCTATGAAAACCTCGATTTTTTTCGCAGATTCACCGAGTCTCAGAGCTACAAGGATCCGTGGTACTGTACCAATCAGACCATGATCCACTGCTCGCCATTGTTAGCAGTTCGGCTGATGGCCCTTAATGCTGGCAAAGTCAATCGGCCGTCCCCTCAGCCTAGAGGCTAAATGTTGCTAAATGTCCATATTAATGTCCACATATGTGATAATATATGTCCATATATGTCCATGATCGCAGCGATGAGCCGGTTTTTGCCGGTTTTAATGTGGAGATCTGCCAGTTTCTGGATCTCCGGACACATCCGGACACTGTGCCGTGCCGAAAGTTTGTGGCGATGACCCCGGAAGCACTGCGCGTTAGATCGAATTCTGTGCCTGAGAATGTATTGCGTCACCTTTCATCAACATTCAGAGTCCTTTGGTCGACGTATGGTGGAGCCATAGTTCAATTGCACTGGCATGCGCTTTCACTTTCGAAGACTGATTGTTCTTTTGGTTAGGATGTGGTGTGGCAGTTCGTGGTCCCAACTAATGTGGTACTGGGGATTAGCCAGACGACTTGTCCAATTCACTTCGGGGAAAAAGACCAGGGATGTGCCTGCCAGGATTGGATTTTCAAGTTGGCATGGAGTGCAACCGGCCAGAATCCCAGTGAAGCGTAGCTAGTACCATACATCTCCAACTTGACACTGATACAGGCAACCGGCAGGGGGAAAACATGACACCAAGATACACCAAGTGTTTTTGGGACTTCTATGCTCCAAGTCTGAAGATGTCCACATTAATGTCAACTTGGAGCATGGAAGGTGAAGGTGAAAAGGGTGACCAACGAGGACTCTTAAAACGTTAGGAGTCTACAACGGTTGGTGAAGCAGCCAGCTGGGCCCTACAAAATTGAGATGAAAACCGAAAAACACACAGTCACCTCAGCAAACTTCCCACTCAATCTGCCATGATCAGTTTCACCTAGCATTAGCTATAAACCCTATGTTTGTGTATAATATATGTCCGGGCAAGAACATCTAAAACCGAAGCACCATTTTTGCGGATGAAATCCACGTTTCTTCATCTTCAATCCGAGGCCTTTTAGCCTTCAGCCACTTGGGCGCTCAAGGCGTCCGTGTGGATCCAAGGAGGTACCCCATGAATATCCATGAATCGTGGACTGATAGACTGATAGATCCATATTATATAATTCAATTATGATTGTCAGATTTTCGCCCAATCAATCAATTCATATCAATTCCCAAGTAACCATAAACTGATCGACTGATTTCCCATAAGATATTCCAAAATGGTCGTACACAAACCAGGTAACCATGCTCCAGCCGAGGTTTGGCTCCGTTGGAGGAGGTTCAAGACAAGAAAGAGGCTGCCCTGGAGTTGATCCTGGCGGGGGTTTCCCTTGGGCTTTTCAATTCTGTAAATGTTGCTTCTGACTTTAACTTTGAAAGGATGATATTTGTGAAAGTGATTTGGAGTCTCTGACTCTAGGTGAAGCCTTTTTTTATTGACGTGGAGATGGGTAGAACATATGACAGCATCTTCATGTAAGTCTTCTGCATTAACAAAGCTGATAGGACATAGACGCATTATCAGATAATAAGTAACCAGCACACAGGCTTGTGGAGAAAGAGAGTACCTCAAATTCCAGCACAGTATCATGATTTTCCCATTTTGAAGGAAAAAAAGGAATTTTTGGGGCAGAGCCCAATGGATTGCCAAAGCCAAGATGGGTAAATATGATGAATTCACCACATTGAACGATATTTCCTCTCAAAACCTGATGCTCCCAAGTTCCTGAAGATTCCATCGGTCACGGTCACAGATGGCAAAATTCGGTGCTGATCCATGGCCCATGGCAGAGTAAGCGTATCATCTCAAGAAATTTTGAAGCCCTTCCAAGGACGAACCATTGATATACCACATCAGGAAACTGCAACAGGCTTCTCCACCAGTAGTCGTTCAGAGTTCACCCGCTCCATTGGGGGATCCTGGCAGAGTCGCCTTGCCAGATGACGCTTGAACGTCCAAATACAGAGGAGGTGCAGTTTTGGACCTGTGGGCAGCAATGCAACAAGCCCTGTGCTTTGGTCTCTAATAAGCTCTTTGAGTGAGTTTTAGTGAGCTCAGGTGAAGAAAAACATGTTTGTTCAATTTTGTTCAGTTGAACATGAAATAGAAACATCCAAGTGGACATTCTACGGTCCACATACCGCTGAAATGAAATGTCAAACAGTGCAACAACACAACATATCTACATGTTATATAGATTTATATAGAGTAGAGCATACTCGATATATCTCGATATATTATTTACCCATATTTACCCACATATATCATATATCCATCTACAGTACATTGTACTGTACATATCAATGACGCCGTATTGAGAGCTGTCGGAGCGCCAGGACCTAGAGGAGAAGGAGACGCCTCAATTTGTTTCCTGACTTTGGGGGTAGCAGTTGGGTAGCCATATATATATAATTATATATATACTATAAACTATATATATATGTTCATATATATGTTTCTATGTGTTTATATATAATTATATCGTTCATGATTGTTGTTCTTAAAGTCCGGTTTTTTTTTCGTGGTATTCCGTGTTTGATCACTGTTGACGACGCCGTTTCTGAGTCACTTCTCCGAGGTTTTCCTGGTGAAAGTGGCTTCGAGTCCAGGAGATGGTCATGGTGATGAATGGTGATTAATGGTAGTAGTTTAATAGTAGTAACAATGGTAATATAATAGTGGTTAATGGTAATAATAGTAATGGTGATGGTGATTAATGGGAATAGTAACAATGATATACTACTACTACTACTACTAATAATAATAATAGTAATAATAATAATAACAATAATCATGATGATGAAGAAGAGGATGAGGAGGAGGATGTCTACTATAGCGCCAGGGAAAGAGTGGCTAAGAGTATGTTGAGAGTATCGGAATTCCGACGTATCAAGGTCTGGCAACAAGGTCTTCCCATCTTCATCGTTGCTGGGACCATCTTTGTCGAAAGTCACAAGTCTAACAGTCGCCAGGAGGGCCCGTGGAACCAAAGAAAGTTCTGGAAGAGGAGGTGGCTTCAGCACAGCCGATGAGCGCATCCTTTGTGCAAGAGTGTGCATATTTTAATATTTTTTCTGGACGGGTGTTAGTGCAACGATGCTTTGCATGGCGGGATCCAAGATTTTGGAAGGTGGAAGCGGAATCCGGGCCTTGTTCTTTTTCATTTAGTGGCCCACACCCTTGATTTTACATGGCAAACACTGAACGTCGATGTGTTTTTTTTGCAACGCACTTTGGTCACTTCGGTGCAACTGAGGGCTTTAACGTGAACATCGCACGTGGTCCGGTTCTCAGGTGGTATCAGTCACCGGCTTCGGAGCTTGATATTTCACGGTGAATCAAAGTCTGGGGATGTGCTGAGTTCCTGATGACTGGGTTTATTCCTTGACGAATCCTCCAAGATACAGGGTCAGCGGTCTGGCGTTTGGAAAAATGATGAAAAATGGCCCCCCATGTTCGCCTCCAGATCGGGTGGATTTGGATCCGCTTGCGTTGGACTTGAGCTGCAAGAATCCAGGACCGGGGCAGATGGGTTTTTCACCCCCAGATCAAAGAAGATCTTCGCTTGGCAGATGTTTTTCCGAAGGTTGTTGGCCCTTTCTTGACTGCAGGAAGAAGCTTTAAAAAAGTTTCCAAAACCGGCAGTGTGATTGGTTTTGACTTGAATCACAATGAGTTGATTCCAATCTCTATTTTTCTTGATGTATTTTGTCTGTTGGATATGATTGGATACCCTAACATAACTATGGAAAATCACCATTTTCAATGGGTAAATCCACTATAAATGGCCATGTTCAATAGCTATGTTAAATTACCGGAGGGTATGTGGAAGGATATGTGGATTGTAAAAACTCATAATCACAGCCTCAGCCTGGATCAACTATGATCAACATTCATCGGCCCAAGGGGCCCTCCCAGGACTACAGGTGGCTGCCCAGGACAGCTGGTTGAATTTGTTGAATGGTTATGGCATTATGGCTATGATTTAGTTGAGTTTCCCAATCAGCTCATTAATTTATATTAGTTCCATGGGTTTGTAGGGTTAGGGGGTTAGTTGTAACTAGTTGTAACTATATCTGGGGACTCCCAAAGTTCGAAAAAGATTGAAGAAGTGATTCCTATTTGGGCCAGTTGAGGTGAAGATGTTGATTTGAAGTCCTGTCGTGTTGTCAACAGTCCGTTGTCAACTGGTCCCCAGGACCCAACTTATGTCACAGGGCACCACCTCATTTCGTGCGGCTTCACGCCGCATGGCAGACCTAAACGGAGTGTTTTGTTGTGTGAGATGGATGGGGCAGACATGCATGAGTAATAGAAGTGTATGAAGTGATAGAGGTGGATTTCCCTCCATTTCTCCTCCTTTCTCAATGGCTTCGTTTTGTTCTGGTATCGCAGGAACTGGAACTCCATTTCCCTCAGTGATTTGTTAGCCCCAAGATTTCCAAAATCATTAATGATATATGACCCAATAAATGGATTTTCTCCAACTTTTTTCATGAAGGCAATCGACTTGAACCCCAATACATGGCCGTGATATCTGAGAGTCAAAGGAACTTCTGAACATAGATTTAGGGCACTAGCCAGTTGCTACACAGTCTACATGTGAAAACCAACTTCTATTGTGTAGGGTGGTTCGTTACTATTACCTATGGGTATACATGGCAAAGTGCCATGTGATCATCATTGGTGGGTTACTATTACCATGATGTCCCAGCAACATGGATGATCACAGTCTGGACCATCCATCATATCCATCATATATCATCATATCATATCCATATTTAGTCACACCAAGCCATTCTTGTGAGGTTCATAAGTCCATGATATCCGTCACAGAATCTATCCCCATCCCACCCATCCCTCCCAGGGACCCAGGGACCCAGGGAACCATGTCTTCAAGGCCTCATGAGACGCTGATGATTGCCGGCGAAGATATCTTTGAGTTCGAGGCGGCAGGACCTATCTATGTCTCGGGGACGGGGAGCACATCAACTGTTGGATGACAGGCGTCAAGGTATTTGTTGTGAATAGTTCATGGATGTTCATGGTATTTCAATGATATTAATCAATGATATTAACAATATGATTATGATATTAATATTTCTGAAGAATCAATGGTTATGATATTTACAATATGATTTTTAAGTGTGACAAGGATGTTTCGCAGAATGCATTAGTTGCTTCGTCCTTGGTCGCTGCGACAGGTCGAAAACAGAGCCAAGAAACGGGAGATTCATTTGCGAGATGTGGCAAAAGCCCTCGTTGAATCCTTAGAGGTTGCAGCCACTGGACTTTGTATCGCAGGCAAGTCGAACTTTGATGAATTTTGAATAGGTACTTGTTAGATCTTCTACTTATTTGACTTATTTGACACATGCCACGATGAAAACAGTTTCGGAACCAAGCCCGAGGCCGTTTCGCCGTGTGGAGGCTATTTGGCAGTGGCAAACGCATTTCTGGTTACTGTGTCGCGGCGAAAAGTTAGCCAGAAATGAAGGTGAAATCGCTTGGAGCTTCCTCCAAAGTTGCGGGGAGCAGCGTTGAAGGGTTTATTTTATGATTTTTCTGGTGGGTCCCAGTCCCGCAATTGTGTATCTTTGTGCCTTTTCTGCGGAACAAAAGGCAAGTTGTGCTCCTACTCCCTGTGGATGTTTTTAGGTTCACTGGGTGTCGTTCCGATTCAGTTATCACCAATTTGCGGGGTCAGTTATTCGTATGTGATGTCTGTCAGCATTTCATTTGTACTGTTTGAATTGCCAACATCCAGTGTAAGACGGTGACCAGACTGTTGTAACTCATGCTGGTTCCATTTGCAGATTGAAGCCAAGAAAGATCCAGAATCCAGAAGTCAAACACTTACACAGATGAACCACGCCCCTTAACACAACCACCTGACAGTTGCCAATGATATCTATGATAGTCTATGATAGTCTATGATCTATATAGCAAAAGCACATTCCTCGCCAATGCGTTCGATGAACCTTGTCGCTTATGGCATCTTATGGCACTCGCCACTCGTTTCCGAGGTACACCGTCTGATGTCCAAAGGACAGGAGGCGGTCTTGAATCAAAAGGTGCCGAGGGGACATGACTCGCATGACTGGCCATGGAGGTTTTAAGGACATCGAACTTCGTTCACCAGAGGTGTTTTGGAAAAGGTGTTGTTGGTTTTTTGAAGAGTCACTAAGAGGGTGAATCTGTCGAACCAGAACATTGCTATTTTCAGATCCTTCAGCAATTCTTCAGGGTTTTGTCTGATACTTTGTGGTATCCCAAGGTATCCCCACGTACCAATGGCCTTTTTCTTATAGAATTTTCATAGGGAATCACCCCATCCGTCTTCCCTGGGAACGATCCGATGGTTCTTTAGGTGACCTCCAATGTGGTGGCCTTGGCCTTCTCGGCCCAACATTTTTTGGCCGTGGGGACCATTGAAAAGAAGGCCAACCTGAGCCGATGGCGGGAGTGGTGAGTTGATGCTGCTGATGTTGGGCACTCCAAATGAGTGCCGCAATGTGCCCATATGGTGTGCCGCAGGTGCTGGTGTTTCACCTGGAAGATAACAAGGACCGATTCCAGGGATCACCGACATAGACATATATCGACATTGCTACACCTTTCGACATGAAAAAGTGTTGTGATTCCTTTCCCAGTTTTGCTTTGCCGGTGGAAAAAGGTTCCCTTTGCAGAATATAAAATGCTAAACACCTTTGAGCAAGGCAGTGAGCGTCAAAGTTCTGGCAGAATGCTGTCATGGGAGATCATAATCTGCCACATCGGGGATGGTCATCCTATCAATAGTGGTTGATTAAGATGAATAAATAAATATATATATATAAATATATATATTTGCATGATATTATATGATAATATAATAATATATATCATCCCTTCCCCCTAATACTAACCCCCCCAAATAATAAACACCTCAGGTAGTTTTTATTATTACGGGGTATTTATTATTAGGGTCCCCCCTAATACTAAATTTATAACCCTAATATAAAAAACTATTTTGTTGTATTTCAAAATCGATTAGAATTTATTTTAAAGTCTAATTAAAATATTGCCAAGAATTGAAAATTCGAAGCTTCCCCCTAATAGTAAATTTAAAACCCTAATATGAAAAACTATTTTGTTCTATTTCAAAATCAATTAGATTTCCTTTTAAAATCTAATAAAACTATGCCAAAAATTGGATTTCGAAGCTTTCCCCTAATATTAAATTAAAAACCTTAATATAAAATATATACTTTTTTTTTTCGACCTTAAAAGACGGACCCTTATAAAAAAAACACCCCGGGGTTGATTAGTTTTTATTATTAGGGGGTGAAACCCTGAAATGGTAGCTTCACGTTTAAATTGTTTTCTAAAGGGGATCAATTAAAAATCAAAGTGGCCAACCTGAAATTGTCCAAAATTGGAGACGGACCCTAGTTTTTATTATTTCTCTTGGGGGTTTAGTAATAGGGGGAAGGGATTATATATATATTATTATATTATTACAGCAAGACCCTGAGGTTTGCCCGGACTCGCAACGAGCGTCCGGGCAAGCCAAGATGATGCTGATGCTGATGATGCTGATGATGATGATGATGTCTTCTTGAAATTCTATAAGAAACCCTAGTGACTGTATGATTAATTGTTTCATGGGGCCGGGAGGATTTCGATATCTTCTTGAAACCCTATAAGAAACCCTAAGGACTGTATGGTTAATTGTTCCATGGGGCCGGGGGATTTTGACATCTTCTTGAAATTCTATAAGAAACCCTAATGATCCCTAATGACTGTATGATTAATAGTGATTAATTGTTTCATGGGGCCGGGGGATTTTGATATCTTCTTGAAACCCTATCAGAAACCCTAATGACTGTATGGTTAATTGCTCATGATATGTAGAAGCGACATGTTCTGGTTAACACCCTAGCAACATAATTGAACATAAAATCCTTCCCGCTGTTTGACGTCGTAGAGAATTTCATGGTATTTACGCTATTCTTGGCTTGGGCAAACCTCGGGGTCTGTGTGTATTATTATATTATCATATAATATCATGTATATATATATATAATTATTCATCTCAATCAACCATTATAATATATAATCATGTTAAATATATATATATATATGTAGATGATGATAATATACCCATTCTAAGGAGCCCTGTAGTGGGACGACCCTAGCCCAGTCAGATGTCATCGCATAGCGAGCGCCAGGAGCCGGCGATACTGTCCGTGCAGGTCCTGACAGAGCTGGCCATGGGGGATGATGAACCACCATAGACTTCAAAGCACTGAAATCATTTGACAGTTGGGTATGGATCAATACCTATACATACCATTTTTAGTGGAGTTTAGTGGGATGAACATCCATAAATCCCAGCTATTTTGATGTGAACTACAGGGGTACTATTGGTTTTGACACACTGCCAAATCATTTGACAGTTGACATCCAGGAATCATCTCAATGCAGAAATTCGCAGTCGATGTAGGAACAAAAAGGGAAGCAGGGCAAGGAAGTTGAAGCATGTTGAAGCATTGTATCCGGTGAGCAACATGGCCACTGGCGGCCACTGGCGGCCACTGGCCGCTTGGACGCGCAGGTCAACAGCTTGTGCTTCTCACCAGCTGGCAATCTCTTGGCCGTCCCAGGAGGTGCAAATTTTCTGCATCCAACTGGCCTTCGGGCCTTTGGGCCTTGGGAAAAAAATGACCTGGCAGACCGCCAGGGTCCAACGCTTTCACAATGGAAACTCACACGACTTTTCCGGGAGACTCACAGTCTCTCCAGGCAGTGATGGAAGTGGCAAAGTGTCCTTGTGGCAAGTGGCAGGTCGAGATCTCAGCCGGGATCGGCATGTTCACAGCACGTTCCAAAGTAACTCTGTTTAGAATATGTTTCACGAATGTGTGTTTTATGTTGGAGCTGACTGGTTGGAAGCTGGAGGGTGCACTGGAACGAGAGGATCTCTATCCAGTTACCCTAAATCGGATAGACATGTTTCAAGTTTTTTTGGTCCATATCACGTGGCAGTTACAGCTTTCTTCAGCAGGCACGGCGTCGCTATTCGCAACGGATAAAACTTGAGCCCCAGGGACCTGCAAAAATACTGTAGTTTTGGAGGCCATTTTTGATACTTTAAATATCTTTATATCCCGGATTTCATGGTGCAGTTGCCTAATTCTTGACAGAATCTGACGCATTCCGAGCATTCCCCCCAGTCTCCCAGGTGAAAGCTGTGAATTCGCTGGGCTGGTGAAGACTCGCAACGTCCTGGGACCCAGGAAGCAGATCATTGCAGATCAGCTCAGCTCCGGTAGATTCAACCCTTTCCCCTTCGTCCCCTTCGTCCAAGGTCGCCAATGTGGCCTGTTTTACTGAACCCGGGAAGGTCTTGGCCGTTGGATGCCACTTGGATCCACTTGGCCTTGAAGCCATGTGATGTTGATTCTGACTGTCGTTGTGGTGGCGCGTGTGCTTGTGTTCCTGTTTGTTGTGCTTTTGTTTGTGTTTGTGTTTGTGCTTGTTGTGGTTTTGGTTGTGATTGTGGTGTGTTTTTTTGTTGTTGCTATTCTTGTTGTTCTTGTTATTCTTGTTGTTCTTGTTCTTATTCTTAGCGGCCTCCTTATTAGTTCGTCAAGGCTGCCTGGTAGACACTGCGAGGTGAAGATTCGCGAGTTGTCCTTCTGGCAGTCGAGCATGGCTTCAAGTGTTGGTCCTTTGGAGCATGGACGCGTGTGCCAAGATGTGGGTTATAACTCCAGTATGATATTTATAAATATACCTAGTACTATATTAAATGGGATTTATATACCAACTCATAACTGTGGGGAAAACATGTGGTAGAAGACTGCAACATGATGCGTTATTTTCCGTCATCAATGGACAAATAAAATGTCCCACTAAAGTATCTAAAGTTGAACCCCAGTTGCCCAGGGCGAAATGTAGGTGAACACTCCATTCAGGCATGATCTGGATTTGATACACATGAACGCAATCTATTGGGATAGCCTCCCCGGGCTCGGCTGGTCGCAGATTGGCGGTGAAGAACACCGGCTTAGCGCTATAAGTCAATACATGTCAATAGCTAACCATTTGAATGTGGGGTATGAGTATCAGATCCATGTCCCAGCTATTTTGCTGTGAAACCGCGGGAAAAATGGAAAAACATCCGCCACTCCCAGGGACTCCCAGCAGGTCAGAGCTGCGCTGCAACTTTCCGGTTCACTACCTCACGCTCTCTGGAAGCTTTCTCGCCGCTGGGGGCGATCGCGATGTGCGCCTGCGGGTGGATGCCACGTGGAAAATGATGGACTTGGCAGATGGGGGTTTCCTAAAATGATGGTACCCCAAAATCATCCAAAATGGGTTGTTATCAATGGGAAAAACCGATGGTTTGGGGTATCCATATTTCAGGAAACCTCCATATTGATTCTGTGCAGATTCAATTGATGGTTTAGTTGCGGGGAGGGAATCCCCATGAATCCCCTGACTCTTGTCAAAGAATGAAGCAGGCTGCGCGTGTCCTAAAGGTCATAAGTCATAGATGGATGCTCTTTTTATCCACCAGGGGAAACGCATCCAGGTGGAGGTAGACAGCAGATAGCATTGGGTTCACCACAGTGTTGATAGATGTCATGTTAAATATGCCCATTTATCTACCCTCTGATTATGACTAACATAGCCATGGTATAGATGACCCATTTATAGATGGTTTACCGTTCTTAAAAATGGTGATTTTCCATGGCTATGTTAAATAACCAGAGGGTAAATCATCTCATACCTCATTTATGGTTGCTGATTTGCATCATTTGCCAGAATTGGTTGAAGGGACATTTGCGGGAAACCCTCCATGTTTGATTAGGAAAAACACATGGGTTCCTTATATTTTATCCTTGCAACCAATACATTGGCCATATGATATTCCCCTGGAATGCGGGTTGACACCACCTCAAAACTTGCACCTCTTCGTCTGCAGATATGCGTTTTCAACATCTCCAGCAGCCAGATCGCTCTCCAATTACCTCGGCAAGAGGCGCAACATCAGAAGTTGTCTGAAATTTTCGGGGAAATCATGGATGAACCAGGGGAAAATCCCATTTCAGGGGGAAAATCCATGAAAATCCATGAAAATCCCATTCCATCCACTGGGAAAGGCATCAAAAATTCCTGGTGAAATCCCCCATTCTCAGAATCCCCAGAAGATTCGCCTGTCAGGAGAGAATTCAGGGTATTTCATTGAGCACCAGTGGCTCATTGCTGGCCTGTTGCTTCAGAGGCGGGAAACCATGGGAAACCTTGCCTTTGAACCCCAAAAAACAAGTGGAAGTGCCAGACATGTGCTATGAAGAGGATTTTCCGGTTGGGAATGGTCATGCTCTGGAATTCATGTGACGTTTCGGGCTGTAGGCTACACACTGCAACACTTTGACTCCTGAGCGCTTTAGTTTCTTTGATAAGTTTTGCAATGGACTGCTTAGAATGGACAGGTTTTGATCATGTTGACTGCTTACGCTCGCGGAGATTTTCAATTGTTTGGACTCCTGGGACTCTTGGACTGGAGATGCCTGCTCGAAAGTGTGTTTTCTTTTGTTTTCTTTCGCAAAGCACCTTTCTCCAGCACAGTTGTATTCTGGAAATGTCTGGAATATCGACCAGGTTTTGCCTATATATGGCTATATAAATGATCGTTTGCCTTTCATTTTGGAACCATAATCCTCAAGGGTTCACCCGGGGCACCGCAATGCACCGCAGGTCATGTGACGCTGCTGCCACTGGAGAGTGCGACGGAAGTCGGGGCTCTTGGTCTCGGTATGTCTCGGTCGCCGGCAGATTAGCCGCCTGAAGTTTGATCTTTTTATGCTACTCCACTGTGCAAGTTTGATCATCTTGATTGTGTAGTACAATGTAGTACATGTGGTGATATGTGGTGAATGTAGTGCATGATTATGTTTATTCTGTAGTATGAGTATGATTGTGTACATGTATTGTAAAAAGTGTGTGGAACTCGGTGATAGCCGCTGATAGCCACTGATAGCCCGATCCTGAGGTCCGAACTTCAATGAAGGCGACTGAGAGCAGGGGAACTGGGTTTTGAATGTTTCGAGGTGCCATGTTCAACAGGTTCAGGGATCTATGAGGATCAACAAGCAGCCCAGCAATCAGAGTCACCCCAGTGCTGGTGAATCAGCAAAATCATCAGCGATCATCCTATCCATTCCTATCCTATCCGCAGAAATCACCCGTGATAGGCTTGGACCACCCATGCTTTCGTCGGTGTGACTTTCAATTGGATTGAATGATCATGGATTATCATGGACCACTAATGGACTGCCACAATTCATTTATGGTTCATGATGGTTTCCTCTTCCACAAATGGGGCCATAAATTGGTGCAGCATATCCAGGACACACCCATGGTCGTCACTTCGCCTTCAGGTTCCAGACGACAAGGATCGCTACAAGTCTCGTGGCACCGTCACATCTCTATCGCTCAGTGACCCGGCCGAAATCGGCCGAATGGGATGGTTGTGGAGTGCCATGCCATAGATGGAGGGATCTGGACCACTGTGGTAGACGTGGGGTCTCTTAGTTCCGTGGGGGGACTCGACCATGAAGTTCATCCGCGATCCGCTCAGAATCGTCACCCAGCGACGTGATGCACACCATTCATCTCTCCTTCGCTGATGTGCAGGCAGGGCCAAGGGGTGAAGGACAGATTGGAAGATATTGGTTCCAAGATTGGAAGATGATTGGAATGCCAAACTGAGAATATGATTGGATATTGGATGATATTGGATGATATATTGGAATGATATATTGGAATGATATATTGGAATGATATATTGGACATGGTCTGATGGTGGATGTATGTCCAGCTCGGACCCCAAGAGGATCCACCGGAAAAGTGTGGAAACCCTGGTGAAAAGCCGGCGTTCTGCCAGGGTTTTTAGCTGGCTATGAAGATATCAACCAAGAATGGTCACCAATCTTTTTTAGGCATACGTGGTCATACAGTCATAAACCTGTTTTGTTTGGTTCTTTCAGTTGTGTCATCGAACGATGCTAATGATAGTTGGAAGGTTGGACCGAGCATAATTACAAAAGCATCTTGCGCGAAATTCGATGAATAACGTGGAATTGTGATGAATTGTGTGCAATTGCTGCTTGTGGGAAAATTGCTGAACAGGTATGGTATGGTATAGTTCAGTATAGTTCATGATGGTTTGAGGTTCCCTCCAGAAAATTGATCTTGGATTTGCATATACGTCATACGTCAATGTGTGTGGATAGGTCTGTATCTCTGCAAGTCTTGGATTGTCTATCATTAGCTGGGATGAAGTTCTTGGCAATTATTAAACATATGGATATGGGTCAAAACCCTATACTCCTGTAGTTCACATCAAAATAGCTGGTAAATGGATGTTCATCCCCCTAAAAATGGTATGTATAGGTATTGATCCATAGCCATATTATAACAACTGATAGTAGATTGCTTGTCTCCCCGGGAGAAATGGCTCACAGCTCCGAAAACGGTCCTTAAAACTGGTAGCACAGCTCTCCAGGCCGGACAAGACGCTGGCCTGCAGGCTGGGGATGGATATGGATGGTGGATCCCAAATTCGACAGGGTTTCTAGGGGGGAAAACTTTAGGTAGTTTTCTCATGTCTAGTTTCTCGTTCAGGAAGTGCTGTCCATTCCAAAGATATCAAAGATTTTGAGCATGAGCTGAAGAGATCCAGTGACAGCCATCCTAGTCTCTAGATGTTTAACCAGCACAAAGAGAGATATGTATACTTATATATATACTTATATATACATAATATGATATAATATAATATATAATATAGTATAATATAATATATAATATAGTATAATATAATATAACATAATACAATACAATATAATATAATATAATATAGTATAATATAATATAATATATAGTGCCAGAAAAAAAACCATCATTTCAAATCATTTCAAGTGTTTTGTTCTTTTCAGTGGTTTGTGGCTCAGTTTGGAGCGATTCCACAGGTGAGCCGAAGTTTGAAGTCGACTGGAAGTTGTGCCAACCTGGATGCGGGTTGGGTTGCCCAGTGCCCACAGCCCACACATGGGGAATTCAGATGCTGGAAGTGCCGAAGAATCGTTGAATGTGAGTTGAATCTTGAAATTGATAGGGCCAACCAGTGCCAGACATGACTATCATGACAGATCATGACTGCTTGGCCTTTCGATGTCCCAAAAATCGGCCAGTCTGATGGAAATCGGAAGCCAGTGGTCATCCCAGGTCATCCCAGGTCAATCTCCCTGAGGTGACGCCGAAGAAGGGAAGCCGTCCTTCCACAAGTCCGTCTCCCTACCCTTCGAGTCCAAGGCGGGTGAAGACAGCATCGACACCGAGGCCTGGCAGGGCTGGTGGTTTCCCGAAATGCCTGCGATGGCCCGGAAGAATTTGAGGCCTACATTCCGGTGGATGGGGATGGCGAAGGTGCTGGGGGCCTAGTGGCAGGAGGTTGAGGAAGTGTGTCGGATGTGAAGGGAGAGACTAGCTATCATGAATAACTGAATAACTACATAGAATAAGATGTAATAAGATATTACATTACATGATATTATTACAAGAAATTATTCTCAGGGACAGTGTCAAAGACCTGTTTTTGATCCAATTGAACATTACTGTACATGCTGTGACTCGCTCCTTTCATGACCATCCCTGCATTCCTCTCGGTTGGGAGCCTTAGACGTTGAGGAAGCTGGATAGATGGTGCATGCAGATCATAACACATTCTACGATATTCTATACAATTCCTTAAAAAAAAACATATAAAATCATCATGGCCTAAGGATCCGGAAGTTTACAAGAAAAGGTTGGTCAAAACACCATTCAAGCAGTTTTTGTTCTAAGTCTTGGGCGGTGTTTACTCTATTGGCATGGGATGCGTTCGGAGAGTGAAGTTGCTAGTGAATCTCGAGCCCCCAGTTTCATTCCAGCTGTTGAATTTGCGTAGGTCACAAATGGTCACAATCCGATGTTTGAAGTTGAATCATACCATACCTGGGCCATAGCTCTATATGTTGGCTGCGTTGACTGCACACAGACTCTCTTTTGTTGTGAAACAAGGCCAGTTTCCTGATATTGCACGATGGTCCATGAGAATCCATGTAGTGGATGAAAATAGTGTACCCCTAAACCCAATGGTTAATGATCATTATCCCTATTAAATGGCTATAATTGGGAATATACCCTATTTTCAGACAAACCCATGTAGTGGATGAATCCTCGTTCTGGATGGTTTCCATGGCTATGGGGAAACTCCGAAGTCAAAAACGGGACCCCTGCGCAGCCTGCGCCAGTTTCACCACCGCCCTGGCTCCTGAAGCCACGCATCTCTGTGACGGACATGTCACAGGTGCAATTTGGGATGTGGATTTGGAGTTGATCCCAGGATATCCCAGGATCAATTGGAAATCCCAAGCTTTCCAGAGGGAAAAACCATGAAAAACATGTCCCACATATGTGGAAAAGGCAAGAAGATGTGACTGGACAGATCTTGAAAGTGTCAAATCAGTCAAATCCGTTCAGGTACCCTCTGGTAAACTAACATAGCAATGGAAAATCACCATTTTTAATGGGAAAATCCACTATTAATGGCCATTTTCAATTGCTATGTTAGTTCACCAGAGGGTAGAATTTGTAGAATCTGGAAAGTCGATGAAAGTCGGCAGCATCCAACTGACGCAGCAGTTCGCGCCATCACCAGGGCGAGGCTTCAAGGTGTACGACCCCCGGCGAGAAAGAGGAGGCAGAGTGCCGCGGGATGGCCGAATGGCTCCCGGGAGGGAAACCCTATGGGAAATCCCATGGGAACCCCCAACAAAAACATCAAAAAACGTGAAGAAAGACTAAGACTAAGAAAGTTCGCAAAAATCCATGGATTCCATGGCTTTTCTATGCTTTTCTTCAAGTTTCCACCGAACAAAACCAGGTTTTGCGACTGGTTGGGGGCCAGATGCAGCCAGGACCCAGAAGCACGCGCCTTGCGAAAGCGACAGCTGTTGGCACGTGATTTGGGACTGGATCCAGCCATCCAGCGCCAGTCTCAGCGGGTGCTGTGGATTGAAATGGTGGGCCCCCGAGCTATGAAAAAATAGCTGGGATAGCTGGGATTCCTTTATAGATTTTAACATGTTTTAACTGTTAACATCTGTTAAGTGAATTGACAATGATTTTCTACTTGGCTACTTACGTTTAGTGGTTGTCACATTTCATTATCACTACTTGGAATTTTAGATAATCTCAGGATCAGCCATCCGCTTAGCTGAAGTTCTTCTCAGCTTCCAAGATGGGACCATTTTTGGAAATCTCATGAATGACTGTATGATCCACCAGAGGAGGCGTGTTTCTATGGAGCACACTTTGGGAAAGGTTTTGGCTATCTTGCCTCCCTTTAGCAGAACTGCCTGAGATTGGTTGAGGGCAGTTGCAGACCGAGAGTTGCTTTGCGACGATCCAATCCCCAAAATCTCCGCCCAGGAGCAAGATCAGCATTGCAGAGCGCCTGGCAGCCCAGATCTGCTGTGATCTCCCAACAGAATGATTGGGAAGCGCCTGGCTGTCGCAGGTGAAGGAGAGGCTCCCATCAAGCTGAAGCACAAAGATGAGGTGCGGAACACCTGTGGCCAGGTCGCATGACACCATGACACCCCAATCAGTTTTGCGCAATGACAGCGGCCTTTCAAGCATGCGCAGCTAGCAGCGTAGCCATTTACCAGCATGTGTTTATTCAGTGTTTATGGTAAGCGGAAGTCATGAAATGTCATGAAGTGGGTTCAACGTTCTTGCAAGAAGGTCATGTTGGACATGTTGAAGCCTTTTGGATGTTTGTAGATGTTTGTAGATGTTTGTAGGTATTTAAAGTGTCTGATTGCTGGCATTGCTGGGCATTGCTGGCCACGTGTGATGGGCAGATGGTGATGGTGCTAGGTCCAGAGCCTTTCCTTCCATCCGAGTGGATCATCCCTGGTGGCGGGCGGCTATGACCAAGAGCTGGTGCTCTGGAATGCTGACAGCCTGAGCCTCGACCGGTTGTTCCTCCTCCTCTTCCTCTTCATCTTCATCTTCATCTTCATCATCATCATGGTCATGGTGAGTCATGATGCGGGTGATAGTGATTTCTCATGAGCAAAATATGAGCAACGGGAGCTGAGAGGTTGACATTGAAATGTTCACCAGTTCTGGCAGCGCAGCTTTGTGCCCACCATTTAAGATATCTTAAAATCATCATCTTTTTATATCTTTGTATCATCATTTGGATTCATTTGGCAATCATATTTAGCTGAGTAATTCCAATCATTCCATATAATTCCTGAAATCTGGGGAGTAAATCCTGAAATCTGGCGAGTAATCCATGAAAAATCTCATGAATGTCAGAAAATCCACCAGGAAAGATCCCGAGTCTCCCGCTTCGTCCGGATACCGCAGGTCACAGTGTGACGGCCCAGCACCACATCGAAAGCGAGATCGTGGCAGCTTCACCTGCCCGCTTTTTTCAAACGTTACGGGTTTAAAAGGCACTGAAAAACGAGAAACAACCATTTAAATGTGTGTATATACGTAATTATATATTATAATTATAATATTTTATACTTGATGATATTGATGATATATATATATATATACATATGATATTTATATTTGATAATATTTGAATAATTTTAAGCATGTGATAAGGAATGATAATTAGACGTGTTGGATCCAAGTCGCTCTATTGTAAGGCGCCATGAAGTTTCGGATCTCTTTTCGTGTTCTGCAAGCAGCTGCCAGGTTTGTTTCTCACCATGTGGTGAATATGTTTTTTGTGCAGATAGCGAACGGGAGATCAACGTCCGGGCGCCAAAAACAACGATTTTGGCCGGAAAAAGTCGAGATCTGGAATGGATCAGGAGCCTGAGACATGATAAGTCCACTTCTTGGTAGGTGATACCATGTGACTCCAAAGGTCTTCCAGTTACAAGTTTACAGAAAACCATAGCAAACAACATCAAGAGCAAAACGTATCATGAATCATTGACATATATATATATATTACTGATTTTCCTTCATGGCACACAGAGACTATTATATATATATATATCAACATTCATTTTGGTCATCAATATTCAGTTCATATATCATCAATTATCCAAAAAAGCCAGGTTTTTGGATGTGTTTTTTTCCAGAAAGAGCTCCCAGCTCTCTAAACTGAGGTCTTCAAAGCCAACACGTTGGAACTCCTGGCAGCCGAAGTTCTCAAGGAACACTTCGGATGCCTCGCCGCAGGGCGCCCAGGAAGGACCAGGCAGAAGCTCTGGAGGTTGAGGTGGCCATCATAATATATATATATATACATATATATATAAATAATTATACATGATGGATTAGAATCATATATAGTCATATACAACCATATTTAATCAGATATGATCATATATGATCATGTATTATCATATAAGATCAGATAATCATGCAATTACACCAACTATGTGACTGTGTGTTATTGAAGTTTTTGACTGTTGTTGAATGGTATTGACCTTAGTATGTGTTGCTCTTCTTGCTGAATTGTCAAAGGGAAGAAGAGCAGCAGCTGTTTGATTCCATATGACCTTAAAGTGACGAGTGTCTAGCCGGCACTCACAGTCTCTCAGTGTGCCAGATTGCGAGTCCGTCCGTGTGTCGTTCCCTCCAGTGCCTCATAGATGATTCTCCGCAACTACAGCCCTCTTTGTGCTCAACGGTCAACTCCACTTGTCAATTTCAGAATCCTATAGCCTATGGATCTTGGGATTGCTTCATGGATATGCCGCACTGAGGGCATTAGCTCCCCGACACAGCTTTTGGCCGTCCACATCTCAGCCGCGGGGGATAAATTGCGATACTCGCAGTGGACAAACAGTTCATATCAAGAGACCCAATGGGAAAGTTTGGAATGGTCAAACATGGCGGTGGCTTGTGCCAGTCGATCAAAGGTGGAGGTACCACCACCACCCACCCAGCCAGCATCAGCCAGGTCGGCTGCACTGCGGTCGTGAAGATTTTTTCAGTTCCTTGACGAAGTTGTTGGTTTTCCTCGTGGAATCCCCATTTTTGATGTGGAAAAGTGTGGTAACCCCAAGGAGCCACCGTCACCATCCCCAATAGATATCCCCAAGCCATATTAGGATTCATGGCATTGGAAATCTCTATTCATGTTTATTCATAGCCAATATTATATCCTATCTTTGGGTATGTCTCTATGGTAGGATGATGCAACTGATGACTCCCGAAGTGGTAGGTTGCTGGGATGGTTTATTAACCACATGACTGATGAACAACAGCTCCAGCTGGCTTTGTTCAGTGGAATCTTTCACCATTCACTGGTGTCCAATATGGTTTCCAAAATGGGGGTACCCCAAAATCATCCAAATGAAAGCAATACACTCGCTAGGAAAACCAATGCTTTGGGGTACTTATATTTTCGGAACCCCCGTGGTAAATCCATCGATAGATGGTTTCGGATGACTTGGAGATCATTTGGGACTCCGCTTCATCGTAGTTCCATCTATCTGTCGATCCATCGATCTATCGACCTACCAAATAAGCGATCTAACGATCTATTGATCTAACGATCTATTGATCTATTGATCTATCGATCAAACTAACTAACTAATGAACAAACGAACGCACCAACTAACGAAGTAACTAACTATAAGTAACTAACTAAGTAACTAACTAGCAGGCTAACAAACCAACTAACTTACTTACTTACTCACTAACTTTCTTACTTATCTATCTATACATTGTTCTATCGGTCTATCGGTCTATCTATCTATCGATCTATCGATCTATCTAACCTAATCTAATCCAATCTAAATCTAATCTAATCTAAATCTAAATCTAATCTAATCTCATCTAATCTCATCTAACCTATCTAACTATCAAACTATCTAACTATCTAATTATCTAACTATCTAACTATCTAACTATCTAACTATCTAACTATCTAACTATCTATCTAGCTATCTAGCTATCTAACTAATATACATATCCTATCTATCTATCTATCCATCCTATCCTATCCTATCCTATCCTATCCTATCCTATCCTATCCTATCCTATCCTATCCTATCCTATCCTATCCTATCCATCCATCCATCCATCCATCCATCCATCTATCTATCTATCTATCTATCCTATCTATCTATCCATCCTATCTATCTATCCTTCCTATCTATCTATCTATCTATCTATCTATCTATCTATCTATCTATCTATCCTTCCTATCTATCTATCTATCTATCCATCCTTCCTATCTATCTATCTATCTAACTAACTAACTAACCAACTAACTAATCTATTTGTTTGCCTATCTTATCTACCTGTCTTTCTTTCTATTTATCGTTCGTTCTGTCTATCTAACTAACTAATTCACTAATCTATCTAGCTTACCTATCTCTCTATCTAACTTTATCTAACTTTATCTATCTTTCTATCTAACTATCTAACTATCTAACTATTTAACTATTAACTATCTAACTATCTAACTATCTAACTTATCTAACTTATCTATTTATTTATCTATATGTTGTCCCTATCTACGCCTCTGTCTATATGTCGCACCCATATCTCTATTGCAAACAATATCTGGGAAAATTATAACAACCTGGTTGCGACCTCACTGGAATGATGGTGAATGTACTGGGTATACGGGGTATAGGGTATATCCCATTCGTTGCCAACGTTATTGAGGTCAGTGAATTGTTATAAATTACCCATATGTATATATATATATATATATATAATCCCCAAAATGATAGACAAGTAAGATCCTACTAAAATAGCAAGAAATATATGTGTTCTTCTCTTTTTGGGTTGCTTTCTATTTATGATATATGTCGGATAGATCAGCCGCGTCTGAGGTGCCAAAGTTGGAGGAGGTTATCAGCCTAGAGCACGGCGGGCAGGCCAGGGAAACTGCGGAGGTGGCGTAACCAGGAAACGTGTGGCAATTCATGGGGGGAAAGGCCACAAATGTGGGAAAAGATGGGGGAAGTGTTCGTTCTTTTGATGTGTTTCTGTTGTTTGTCCAAAAATGACAAAAAACTAGCGAAACAAAAGCAGGTTGGGGACAAAAACGGCCATTGAAGCCCCATAAGTTGGGATAATAAGACCCCTAAAAAATCCTGCAACTATTAGTAACTATGGACAAGACCACATGGTGGAACTGCACCCAAGTTGCAAACCTGCTGCGAAGGTACACAGTCTCAGTTTTTCTCCATCCCTGGGCATGTTGGCAGCAGCTGGAGGTGACAGGGGGCCAATGGCCCCACAGGTTAAGCATGTAGGGGTGGAGATAGGACTATAGGGATCTTGAGAGAATACTAAAATGATCTAAAATGGACAAACTTTGGATGAGTTGGGGTACTCCCATTTTAGTCAACCTCCATATACATAGATGGTGCAGAAGCAAGTTATTTCTGGTGGCACAATGACTAGTGTTCGAAGGATCCAAGGCCTAGGTTTTCCCGGCAGAGACTGGTCTTTCGTTCATTTTGTACTGCAGGTGGGCATAGTGGGCTAAAAAAACAGCATACCAAGATGAATTGCCAGGCATTGACCTCACCAACGGCCTTCTGGACTATACCAAGGACCATGGCGACTGCAAGAAGGAAAGCGCTGGGTGATGGGGGGTTGTCGCAATTGCAGCAATTGGTTCTCGAAATGGCCGCCAGGCCATGGTATGGAAGTCCACAGATATGGCTGGCCTTTGGGATGAAGTGACAACCATCAACTACAAGGACCCAGTGGCCCAGTGGCCCAGTGGTGTGGTGTCAGTGGTGTGACCGGGGGAAGGTTGGAGGACGATTTTTCATGGTTGAACCTCTGCAAGAAATCCATCGAGAAAAGATAGAAACCAGGTGTCAGGGCTGGAGATAGGGTTGCTGATCCAATCTTCATTCAGGACCCCCTGTGTTTTTTTCTGAAGATGACTCAGTTTTAAGTCTTGCCCTACATCATCCATCATCATCCTACGTCCTTGAAGTGAAAATCTGTACTGGACACTGGATGGTACAACTGGATACAACTGGTGCATTTCCAGGACTTTTGCCACGCAGCTGCCTTCTCTCCCTGTGGGACAGCGCTTGCTTTGGCCGGAGAGGAGATTGTTCAAAAAACTGTCGGCCGTTGCAGGGAAGCGTTTATGATGGGCATAAAGGGCGGTCTATGATATGTTTTTGAAAATAAATAAATTAAATCTGGTTGGTGGTTTGGAACATTTTTTTATTTTCCATAATATAGGGGAAAATCCCCTTCCTATTGACTAATATTTTTCAAGATGGTTATCGCACCACCAACCAGATAAATAAATTAACTCCGGAGCTGTAGCTGAGTAGAAACATGTAGAAACGGTCCCGATAAATCTCCGACATCGCTGAGTGATAGTCACAAGGCCACTTTGAAAACTGGTGGAGTTCAGTGCATCGACGGTGTATAAACGAGGATCGGATGATTTCCATCCTGTCCGTGGGCAAGAACTTCCAGAAGGCTCAATCCACTGCGATGGGGGTCATCCTAGAAGCTCCAAGCACTTCCCATGGCGGACGTGTCCACTGTTTCTCAAACTGGATCGGGTTGAGAAAACAAGGCTGGTGACATCAGAACAGCAAGTTGATCATGGGGGCTAAACCTCCAATCCAATTGTTCTTTATCATGTAATAAAAACTTCAGGTTCAAACAACTGCAACATATCAATTCAGCATAATTCAGCCATATCATAATCAGAATTGTAAACAGAAACATCATTCAGTCAAATCTGTTACAAATCAATCCATCCATATCCATCCCAACCATCCCCGACCACCAATCATCTCCAATCTAATTCTGATTGAAATTCTGATTGAGATGAAGCAAGATATTTCCATAGATTAGTGACGATTATAGCCTATAGCCTATACATCTACGGTATGTACATATATATATATATGCATATATATATATAGAGAATTCACGACTCATCACCAATATCTACTAAAAAAAACATAGATCATCAGAAATATCTCGAAATCCCATAGATTTTCATGATTTTTCATGGATCACTCGAAATCCCATAGATTTTCGCCAGACATTCCGCCAGGCCACCGAGCTCCCCTGCGGTGCCGGCATCCGGTGCCTCAGTTGGAGCTACTCCTCGCGGTTGTTGGCCTCCGCCGGGGAGGACGCGGCTTTCCGATGGATTTGGGGATTTTCGGCCCATGTTTCAGGATGGGATAAAAGTGATACCCTCTGGTAAACTAACATAGCCATGGAAAATCAACATGTTTAATGGGAAAACTCCACTATTTCTATGGTCATTTTCAATAGCTATGTTAAATTACCAGAGGGTAGTGATGGGATAAAAAAGAACTGAATAGTGTTATTTATCCCATAAAAAATTGATGATTGGATCTATAAAACATAGAAATACTGATTAAAAGTAAAAGTGATGATTAAACGTGGTGATGATGATTATTATGATGATGATGAATCATAGAAATACTGACTAAAAGATATCAAAGTAAAGTGATGATTAAAAGTAAAAGTGATGATTAAAAGTAAAAGTGATGATTAAAAGTAAAAGTGATGATTAAAAGTGGTGATGGTGGTGATGATGATGATTGCCATAATAATTGTCAAACTGTATCAGTCTATAAGTAGATACGTGCAGATAATTGGTATATACTACAATGGTCATTTACACTTGTATAACAGTGTATAACCATATATGATTAATGATAGTTGCTTTTACATAGACGATGATATGTCTTAACAGAGAGAAGGCTGGGGTTAGGCTTGCGTGAATGCTATGGAGGACATGCGGGTGTCAGTGTGGGATGTCAGGATGGCCTAGATGGGCTGGGAGTGACTCTGAAAACAGTACCCTTTGGTAAACGTTAAGAAAAAACTATGGAAAATCACAATTTTTATGGTAAATCACCATGTTTAATGGAAAATCGCTGGTTAACTATGGAAAATCACCATGTTTAATGGGTAAATCAACTATTTCTATGGCCATTTTCAATAGCAAACTGTTAATTTACCAGAGGGTATCGCATCCAAGCTTAGACTTGAATCCAGAAATCTTTTGATGACTGTTGTGGATTTTGTTAGGTGATCAAACGCATTTTTGGTGTTTGAGACTGCAGAGACCATTATCTCAATGTGCGTTTCCCCGCACATCGATCTGGGGTTCAATGCATCCGAGGTTTTGTTCAAGCGAGTGGTGCTGCATCTCCCAAAGGCGCTGGGTGAATTTGACCATTTTGTGTGTCGGATTTTAGTACTGTATGCTTTCGTAGGATTCCCTTCAAGGAAAATAAGTTAAGGCTCTTTTTGGTGAGAACATCACCTCGTCACCTCGAAATTTCACAAATCTAAGACTGCTTCCGTTGCGGCGTCCAACTGGATCCCGAAAGACCTTGGGCTAGGCAGATGATTGGTCCCAGCCTCATCTGATTCGGCGGTGTCTTCGGGGAGGGAATCATGATGCTACCTCCTGCTAATTCCTGCCATGTCCTGCCAGTTGTAGGCCAGTTCATTGGATATCAACTAAGTTCATTGGCAGGGCTTCAGTGAACAGTCGGACCCAATGCGAAAAGTGCTGGTGGCGAAGCTGTTGAAATAGCATACCTCTTGGTTCCGTCATTCAAAGTCTTCAATGCACCTTGCAATGCTTGACGCCTTTGATCCCTCAAACATTTAAACCCCAAAAGCCCTAAAAACCTTCAGCCCCAAAAATCTTAGCGTGTATGGCTAAGCAAATAAGCCTAAAACATCCTAAAACCATGACAGCCCGTGAAGTCTCAAGGGTCCAGAACCTTGCAAAATTGCTGATTCTGTTCCCATTTCAGCATATTTATGAGCTGGGACAACATCGCAAACCCATGAGTAGTTTTGAAAACCCATCTAGACTTCTGTTTGTCTTAGATTGTCTTAGTGTGTTTGGCGCGTACTGTGGTACATATCTGAGGGACTCTGAGGGTTTTAAACTGCGCGGCAAGATGGAAAAACATGTGGAAAGTGGAAGAATCGGTCAAGGGAAGATCCGTGTCTGAAAATGAGTTTACAGTTTGCCCCAAAAATTGCTAATAGGGAAAATATGGGGAAATGAGAACAATGATGATTCAATGTTGGTACGCCACTGGATTTAGGGATTTAGGGCTTCCAGCCGCTGAGGCTTTGCAGTCTCTCCTTCAGTTCTGACAGCAAGTGGTTCGCTGCCTTATTCGCTGGCTGTGGTGATGGTGATAATGCAGGATTTTAGCAACGACAGGGGGACATCACAAACAAGCAAAGGGATGTGTATGGTTTTCAGCGTGTTCAGAAACAAGTTCCCTATTTTTCTAGCTTTTCCATGGGCAGCTACGGCTGGAAAAATCGGTCTAAAGCGGCAAAGCTTGGGCAGCCAAAAAGATCCTGTGGGCCGCAACGCGCATACTGGCTGCCACAAAGCGTGGTGCTTATTATACTATACAGAACATACCCAGGATGCAGCAAATTAAGACATCTTAGCAGGTCCTGTTGTCGTATTAGGCCGACGTAAAATAGTTTATTGGTTCAGACGACGTCAATATTTCAGCGGTAAAATTATTCGAAATAAGCGACGACCTGCGAAATATCATAAATTGTACAGATATATATATATAATATGATAAATAGATGGATGGATGGATGGATAGATAAGATGAAATGAGATGAAATGAGATGAGATGAGGTGAGATGAGGTGAGATGAGATGAGATCAGGTGAGATGAGGTGAGATGAGGTGAGATGAGATGAGGTGAGGTGAGATGAGATGAGGTGAGATGAGATGAGGTGAGATGAGAAGAGATGAGGTGAGATGAGGTGATATAGATTATATTATATTACACTAAATACACTGCATTATCACATAGCATCCAAAATAGTTACAAGATTGCCACAAAATCATCATGACTACCCCAGGAGCGCCCAAATTTGGGTACCTTGTGAAAAGTCAAAGCCGTGCCAAATCCTAGCCCTGTTTGACGGATATGACTCGCTGAGGTTAGCCACATGTGGTTATGGACAAAATACTGTTGATCTGTGGCCCATCGAGGCTCGGATGGGTGGCCAAGCTTTCGATGAACATTGAAAAGTGGAATCAGTTGACTTAAGTTGGTGTAATGTGAAAAACCCAATAATGACCCTAACCATTTAGGAATGATGGTTACCACCCATAAAAATGGTGAATTTGGGGATGATCTATTATTGGGTTTACCACATTACATGAAATGCCTGCAGAAAAATGCCAGCTGTCAATGCGTGATTGTTTTAGTTTGCGGTTATTTCTTGGCAGGGGGACGGGTATACCTATACCAGAGACCTCTGTAGCTTTCATTTCATACATATCACCGCGTTATGCTTTAAGTTTTCGGCCACTGATTGACCTGGAAGAGGCAAGGTACCCACGATGCTCAGACCCCAGTAGTCCCATGGCCCAGGTCGAGGAGAAAGAATTTTTGTGCTAGCATCACGTGCCGCGTGCTGTATGTATAGTTCATGTGGAGGCTTGTAAGGCCTCCTTTCAGGTTATGAGTGACATCACCAGCCATCCTCAGAATCTTCACTTGTATATAATATATGTTTACGTGTGGTATAAACCAGCCCAAAATCGTAGGTTGATTGGGTTTCCCACATTAATCCTCTTGGGAACATTCTTTTTTGAAAAAGTTTTCCAACATTCCTTTGGCATCCACTTGGTGTACATCGTGGAGTAGCGCGGCCTTAGAACAACCCTCCCTTTTTATTTTTGCTCCTTTGGCTCGGCGGTCCACTCCTGCCATGTTTGGGATTGGATTCCGACGCCACAACGACAACGACGTCTCACTGCATAAAGGCATTGTTTCCCCGGGCGAAAACCCAGCCGTGGAAGATGCCACACCGGTAAAAAGAAGCAGTGGTGGCCAGTGGTCGGCATGTAGAATGTATGAATGTGTTCATATGTGTTCTGTGATTCAATACATATCAACATACATATATATATATATGTATATCTTATACAATATATCAATATCATATCAACATATATCGTATATCAACATATGCTGAAACCCAAGTTGTATTGTACTTCTTGCAATCTGACTATGTGTTTCAAATCGGATTTTGTTAGAGCCCCAGATTCACGATGTGAGGTTTGTGAGGTGCTGGAGCCTATCCAAAAACATGGCACGGTTGGAAACGAGTGTTGCTTTCATTGAGTTGGAGATGTTGAATGTGTGGCATAACCTTCAGCGGTTGTCTGCAGCTTGCTCAAAGTGGCTCAGAGATACTCAGCTTGTTCAAGTTCCGAAAGGCTAAAGTCTATGATTTGCGGAATGTTGCCATTGGGGGCCACGCCCAAGTCTTGGAATCATGGGGCCCCCATGACATGGAAATTGCGCAGCCAGCGTATTGTCAGGATGCTGTAGATAAACACACGCCAGGAGACGCAGGTATAAATTCCATATGAAAAGACTCATTTTGTTGGCTGATCATGGAAGTACTGGGAATTCACAAAGAAACAGGTCAGGGGAATCTGGTTTGACACCTGCAGGGATCCCTCCAATTGCCCCGCTTTCTGTTGCTCCATTGGTCCTGAAAGTAGCTGCTTCCGTCAATGAAATCTGAGATGAAGAGGCCCCGAGCAGTGGTTGGCCATGACTGGAATCCTTGAAAGCCGAGGAAGGCGATCAGCTGAACCAGAAATCATGAAAAAAAAACTAAAACCAGAAAGTCGGTGCAGATGTGGGGTCATGATTTTCCCATTATGGGCAGTTAAACCATGTTAAACCTGAGCAGTCGTAGCTTCTTAGTAGCTTCTAAGTGTGTCCAGAAATGCGGCCCACCCGCAGATTCCCAGTGCAATTGTGAAATGTCACGAGGTCAGGTCGTGTCAGCCACAAAGTGACCGCGGCCCAGGCCGCCCAACGCCTATGAGACGCCGGCGGACTTCGCGAAAGTGGACTCTTGTCACAAAATAATCTTGCCAAAGTAACATATTTCATCATATTTCTACATCTCCAACCAGGTTGAAAAGAAAAGATCATGGAACTCGGACATCTCCAGAATGGATGAATGGATGAATGTCATCTGTGGTTTGGAACATTTATTATTTTTCCATATAATTGGAAATTTCATAATCCCAACTGTTACTCACTCCATCATTTTTCAGAGGGGTTGGTATACCACCAAGCAGTCATGATTCGGATATATTCGGATACCATGTGTTACCCTGCGGAACCTGCCACGGGCTGAGGATTCGATTCTGCGCCATCTCCAAGACACGGAGAGTCACGATTGGCTCGGAGAGATCACCCACTGGGGAACACAGGCGTGGGCGGCCCCAACGGTGGAAGATGAGTGATAGATGAGTTTCATAGATGGCTTATTTGAGAAATGAAATCAAACTTTAGTGGAATAGTTGAGAGGAACTTTCTTGGATGTGTTTTTTCTCTACCACCGCAGCCAGGGTGTTTCCAATCCCCAAAAAATCAGCGGAGTCAAAGGATGGTACCATCAAAACCCTGGTACCCCCGTGAAATGGATGTTCATCCCTCCATTTTTTTGGAAAATCATAGGTTTTGACTCATCCCCATATCAGGATCCGAGTTTGTTTGCCAAATTGGATTGGTTGTCCTGGGAAGATCGGAAAAACTAAAAGAGATTGCCAAGGAAGGCAGGACACAGATGGAGACAGTATGTCCCAATAGTTTCGGGACCAACCACAGTGTGTCCCGGTGCCAGGTTTGCTATTTGCTGTTGCAGAACTACAACATCACACGCCTCAACATTCAAAGTCAGCTGGCTCAGACCATTAATATGAGGTCTATTGATGTCTGGACGGGTGAAACATGGTGAGACACGGTGAAACATGGTGAAACACGGTGACACTGTTGAAGTTGTTTGGAGCGTCCAGCAGAGCTCAAGTGAGGTAGCAACTTCCACCTCATCTTACTCACCACCTTCTTCTTTGCTCAGCGAATCTGGTTGGGCCTCAAGTCAGCTCGAAGAGACAACAAACAGTCGGAGATATCATTCCTGGGTATGCCAAACCATGTCAAACCATGCCAAACCCTAAACCCTCATTCCTGGCTTAAAACATGACTGTACCAGGCACTGTACCAGGCACTGTCCCTCTTATGGAGATGGAAAGATGGAACCACCTGGATCCCGGAGTTGACCGAAACTGCATCCGAGGCATTGGCAGGTCAAGTATGAAAGTTTCGTTATTGTTTCTCTATTGTTTCAGCACATTAAGTTTGAGACTCTTTAAGAATATCCATATTTCATGCCTGGAATGGCCCAAGGTTTTTCTTGTGGAGGATGACCCAGTGCTCTGACGCTCACGGCGTCCGCTTTGCGCAGTGACCTTAGCGTATTGGGTCTTGGTGGTTTCTCGTGACCCCGCAATGGTTAATAAAGCCTTAAAACTAGCAGATGATTGGGTCCTATTGTTTCTTAATGTTTCTTATTTGGTTTCTTATTTGGTTTCTTATTGGTATTGACCCCCGTTCATCGTTCATTGTGCCACCAAGGTGTCATTTGACTCTCTTCTTCGTCATGGTTGATTCTCTCTACTGTGGTTTGACCCTCGCCATGCAGGACCTTGCCTCAACTTGCAGCACAGCCAGGTTTGATGTCTGAATCGTGGATTTGCCGTGACCTGCAAGATTCTTGTGCTCAAAAACATGCTAAGATCATCCAATGGTATTCCAATGATGGAGCCAATGGAGCCAAAAGGCGTCATCAGAATTGTAACACTTGGATCCACTTGGTTAATGTTGATCCACCGAAGACTGGGAAAGGGATGGAAAGGGAAGACTCCAGCGGTCGGCAACGGGTATTGCAGGCCTTCGGTGGCCTTTCTCTTTCAGCTGAAACTGCCATAGTTCGGTGGAAAAAGATTGACAGTGCCCAGGGGCTTCAGCGCTTTCACATCGTTTCACACATACCGTTGAGTTGGTTGGAGGACTCCTTCGCAGGTGTCTACCTGGCGCATGGGCACTCAGAGATTGTTTGAGATCGTAGGCTTCTTTGTGAATGCCCAATGTCACCGTAGATTCCAGCATTCTGTGATTTGTTTGAATTTACATGATGATTTTTCAATGGGGACTATCCAAAGCCATCCAAACGGTGGCCGTACAAAGGTTACCTTTGCTTGTGAGTGTCCTCTTCTACCACGGTTATTCGTCCCTGCCTCGGCCCTGGTGTTGTTGGGTCAACTTTCTGAAAAAAAAAAACGGCATCAAGGCCACTTAGTTTTGACCACCCAGTTCCGGTGCAAGGGTCTCATTCTTTTCCAAGTACGGAGAAGTTGGCAAGCCACAGAACTATTTTGCCTTGTCGCCGAAAGAAGTGTTCTTCGTTGGAAGTGGTAGTACTTTGGAGTGCCACGATCATAGAAAATCAAGATATATCAAGATATATCAAGATTATCAAGATGTTCGAAGAATCCAGAAGCAGCTTGAGCAGGGACTCTTTGAGTTCCACACATCCCGAAGCATCCGCTGGATCTGTAGAGATCCCCATCACCGCTGGATCAATCGGAACATCCGCAGCATCCGTACGTGTTCACTGGGTGTTTTTTTTCCGTAATCGGGACCTCAATGTTCCAATGTTCCAATGTTCCAATCCCAGAAACCCCAAGTGCATGTATAACTTAGTATAACCCTTATAGTATAACCCAAACGGTGATCCTTGGTGACAGGAAAACGCAAACAAATGTCTTCACGGCGGAGCTCTTCAATATGTTCGGGAGCCAAGGGATGTTCCAAAATATGCACAGCTATGATGTGCTGTGATAGTTTTCGGGCCTCGATAGTTGAAGCAGTTGAATTTATATTGTGGTGTTTGCTGAGATTTTCTCCATGTCGCTGGGCCATGTGTTCTTCCACCCGAGGTTGAGACGATGTGTCTATCACAGCCTGGAAGCTGCATATTGCATCGGAGTTTTACCTTTGAGGCCATACATTTTGTCCAGCGGCAATGACAGTAGGTGCCAGGATTGAAACCGGTGCGATAATATAAGGACTTGTCATTGTCGGAACTCCTGGCTCTTGATAGCTGTCAGAAACAAATTGACGCTGGTTTATTGCAACTCTTGAAGTAGTGGTTGCAGGTATCCTATACTTCAGAACAAGCAGCATGTATTTGAGAAATCCCCCACTTTCAGGAACGAACTGTTCAAAAAGCATGTCCTCTTGAAAAAAGAAGAACAGTTCAGCCGTTCAACCATGCTGTTTGGATCTTTGCGAAATTCCGTCAAGAATTCGTAGGTCTCTAAGCTTGTTTGCATGAAGTGGTGCAATTGGTGCTTTCATTCTCCATGATGTATTGACTATGGTCCTATGGTGGATGATCAGTGAAAGCCCGATAGCATCACAAATTCGAGCCAGGTTCGTGCGATATGACTACATCTACTACGATACCTCTCGCTGTGCCGTCAGGGAACCTGTCGATGGATCAGTCATGGCAGAGGTGATGGGCCGCTAGGGAATGAATGGTAAGTTCATGTCGTGGTCGGACTTGCATTGTCCGAGGGGACCTGGATTTGGGCGATTGCAAAGGCAACATCTATCAACATCTAATGGAAAACCTGTTCCTTCGAGTTTTGTCTTGGAAGAAATGGTAAACAAGGCTGGCTGATCATCATTTGACCCAGGCATTTTCTGCTGAATGACCACCCCAGATGAACTATAGGAATTCGCCACACATGATTATATAGTTGGGGGGATGTTGGGGGATTGTGCTAACCATATCCTAAAAAATAGGGGTATGATTGCAATTCATGAAATTCATGAAAGGGGAATCCCATTGCTCAACCAACTCCGAGTTTCTGACATTTCTTGTCACCGTGCACATCTTCCTGAGCTTCCTTTGCCTGGACCGTTGCAGGGCAGGGGTTGGAGATGGTTGGTAGGAAAGAGCATCTGCTAGCTGTCATTATCTGGATATCTGGATGCTTATACTGATACTATCTGATACTATTTTTTATGTATTGCATTCATGAGTTTTAATAGATCATATAGATCTTGTTTGGTGTTTTATTTCCATGGTTCGTATATGTTTTTTTGAACCGTGGACGGTGGCTGTGGGATTCGAAGCACGACACTAGGTTTCTATGCCTTAAATTGGTCAAGCTGATGTGTTGCGCAAGACTTTGACAATGAATGCCTGTTAGATGTTTGGAATTGGATGATGGGAAAATTTACAGGAAAGCCCTATATTTGATGGTAAAAACCATGGTTTCCTGTAGATTTTCCCTTAAACCAATCCAGTGACTGTTAGATGTTTGGAATTGTGTACAAAAGAACAAGAACAGACAGGTTCATCTTCGTTTTCCACTCCTGTCCACCATGGGGCCATGGGATGTGGAGAGTCAAGCGAGTTGGTGTCGCAGCACAGGAGTTGCACTGTCTGGGCTCTGAAGCTCTACAACAGCCCTGGGGCCCAGCGAAAAGTGGGGGAAAGCACTGGAGGTAGATGAAATATGATGAAATTGCTTGGAGCATCTTGAAGCCCAAACAATCCATCATCCCATATTTTGCATGGGCTGGAGGCCCGAAGGTTTTTGCAGCTTCTTCATTTTTTTTTGGAGAATTCGTGGTCTAGTCTAGTCATGTCTAGTCGTTTGCATCATAAGTGATCCGTTCACCACAAGTCACGATGGTCACGGGACAGCGACCTTAGAATTTTCTGAGGACTCGGATGTTGGGGGAGTGGCGGCGGATTGCTGAACCTGCCGGAATCTCAGGGGGAGGGCATATTGAGCCTGGTAGTGAAGCCAAAAAAAGCTGGGATTTATGGATGTTCAATTTCCCAAATGATATAGCAATATAATAGCAATATAGCTCTTGATATTTTGATAGATCGCCAATTTGGCTACTTTTGGAATAGGTGGATTTGGGATGATGTGTTTGGCTGCTCTTTGAAACCTTCCTTGCTTTCCCAAACCTGGGATGGCCAACACCAGCTGGCCAATCATTTGGGAATGGATTGAAACATATGGAAACCATCAAAATCGGCTCAGACTTTAGGCAAGAATGATATCAGTCCCAAAACTTGAATGGTTTTGTTCCAAAAATGACCCACCAACTCCATTTGTGGTTGGTAGCGCCAGAACCAGCGCTGGTCGCCCAGGGGCCAAAGCAAAAGGCCTCTGAGTGGTCGTGCCACAGCTGTCCCTATCCGAGAGGTAGCAACTGGCACTGGGAGCTGGGTCGAAGATGACGAGAAGTGAGATGTGCTGCTTCTGCAAGCCAAGATGGATGATATACCCCAAACATATTCAAGAATCTCAAAATAAACATGTTGGATTGGACACAAATCCTGAAAAAATACTCCTTGAGCAACGGAATGTTGGAAGGGATCTTCCAGCTTGAAACACAAATTCATCCCCCATCCTGGCAGATTTTATCGCCAGGTGCTGTGGTTCTTTGCAAAGGCCGATATTATGAAGCGTTGGTTTGGGAACCGAGTTGATCTGGAGAGCTGGAGGGATGGGCTCAGCCGCACCTCTATGTTAAGCTGTGAAATGCTGTGAAAGTAGCTGCAAATAGTTGTTGAGGATAGCCATGTATCACATGTTTCATCATGGTTGTTGATGATGGAAAGCTGTTTGACGGCGAGATGCTGTTATATGATGTTATATGAATATATATGAATATCAAGAATTCGAAGTGCTACCTTCGGATGTCAACATTGCCAACAGCATTGTGATATTTGGCCGTCTCTGAGGCAACTTTGAATACCTGTATGCCGACCAGCCCGCACGGGCCTCAAATTCCACCAACCAGGGTGTGGGATATATTGGGATATTGATGGATATTGATGGATATTGATGGAATGGTGAGGCAAGAGGCTTCCATAGGTTCCCGGAATTTCCCGGAAGTGGGTCGTACCTTTCAAGCTTAGCCAAGGCGTCGCTGTCTTTGGCCAATCGCCTACATCTTGGGCGATTCCCAACGTGCGAAGGCCAGAATGGCTGGCAGCTGGTCATATTTACGGGTTTCCAAAAATGGAGCTACCCCAAAATGGAGGGTCTAATAATGGTTTAGAATGGAAAATCCCATTCAAATGGATGATTTGGAGGTACCCCCATTTTGGGACATCTTCATATTATGGCTTTGTCTGATAGGGAACCCCCAAAGCTCATGGTTTATCACCATTTATGTCCACTTATGTCCCATTTTCAGCCACAGTCGACGTCTGCGAAACGCAAAAACAAAGAAGGAAACAGTAGCTGAATTTTGGAATGCAGAATCGATCGGAATGAATGCATAAGAAGAATATCATCAGACATCATCAAACATCATGAAGTATAAGATCATCATAAAAGATCACAAAATATCATAAAATGATGAAAATTATGTGAATGTGACTGTGACTTGCCAGAATTGTTTCCCTGTTCTTCAAGCTTGTGACCTTCCATCACTCAAATGGAACCCAAGGACCCAAAGCTTGCTGTAGAGACAGTACCCAAAGCTCCTGACATCCGTTGCTGCAAGGCTTTTATGCTGGTTGCCTTGTTAATGATGAATGTCGTGTTGGTTCAGCTCGTTCTTTGGTCCAATCAGCCGGGATTCCAAACGCGCTTCTTCTGGTTGTCCTGCATGTTGTTGACGAATCTCAGCCACTGAAGCTGCAAACCCTCTAGGCTTTGCGCAAAAGAGTGGTTTGTAGCTCCACTATGAATATGTTCATGCCCATTACTGGCCCATTACATCCTATATATGTTACAATATGTTACAATGCGTGGCAAAGTGCCTGGCGAAACTTGATGATTTTGCCACCTGGCGTTGAAGATGTGTCCATCAGCAGCAAAGGGTTGAAGATGTGTCCATCAGCAGATTGGCTACAGAATTTGCGCATGACATCATTGTTGGGAAGATTGGAAAGGGAATCTGCAGGGAGTGCTAAACTTTCCCAATTTGGGAGATCTTTAAGATCACCCATTGATGTTGAAGTGGGACCTTTCGATAACATGCTGACTAAGCGTTAGAAAAATATCAGGATCGCAGGAACACGCGGAACATGCGTTGAATACTCGTGGAACATTCGTGGTCGATGTTTGCATTGAGGTGGATAATGTATGCGATCATGATCATACCCAATGCCGTTCACTTTATGTACGTCAAGTGTGGCAGCCCAACTGTGGTACCGATTCCAGGATGCTTTTGCGTCTAAAAGCGCAGCTTCTTGGGTATCAGATGTCCTCTGAGTCTCCAAGAATGTATTTTCTATTTTGGATTTAGAGGCAACTGCTGATGACTGATCTTGGCCTTTAGGATCTTCAGGTTTTTCAGGCGATCTCTCCTTGCATTCCGGGCTTGGACGGCGAGATCCACCAGATCCACCAGATCCACCAAGGCTCAGGACGTCACATGCCTTCTTCAACCCTGCGCATCTGAACCTCAGGCGGGATCACGGGAATCCAGTCACTAGCCCTGTTGATCCCTGTTGGAACTTGGAACATCTTGGAACCACACTGCAGTATTCCCCTGATCCAGGCAGCTCCAATGGGATCTGTCGGATCAATGGCCTGCTGGAGCAGGTGCGCAGGAGATTTCTGCATAGGGAGTGAGAGATCATATCTTAGCATATCTTTATACAGAAGGATCCATAGTAACATATATACGTACGTATATATAACTAATATACTAAGACTAATATTAAAATTATATAATTAATATTACGTATATATATATATACATACTTATATACACATCAGTATAAATACTATATATGATCACATATTATATATACCTGGCTTTTTGGATGATGTTCACATAGTTTCGATCTCTTCCGCACTTGGGTAGTTGCGGGGAAAGCGGGTCGCTGCCGTTTCAGGGCCCAGTGACTTCATGGGCACCTCCAATACCTGCGGCTGGGCGCAATCAAGACCCTGTCAGATAGGGGTTGGAAGGTTAGTTTCCACTAAAAATTGGTGATTTTCAGGGTCTATGTTGATTTACTCGAGGGACTATGAGAGATTGATTGTAATATATTAGAAATTATTGGGGTTGTATGAATTGTATTTATTGACTAGGGCATAACTAGTTGGATCTTGAGCGATTCCCAACATGCGAAGGCCTGCGTGGCGGGTTCCGAATGTGGTACCCCTAAAGTCACCATGCTTGTTTCAATACGAAGTCATGGTCATCCATGGCTTGGGTTTCTGGGTACCCCCATGACTTAGGAAACCTCCATATGCCAAACATTGTGGAAAATGCAAAGAAAACAAGTCATCATGCATGGCATACAGAAATCAGGTTTGCTGCCATAGATATCCATAGATGAGCAGACCATATGATTCTTTCACGGCCAAATGATCGAAATGTTAGTGTCGACTGCAAGGTAGTAAAGATCATATAAAGGCATCCAGAAAAAACAACTTTGAAAACAGCACTATTTTGAGAACCTATCCTGAAACTCTATTAGAAACCCTCCGCAAAAAACAATGGCAAAAAAAACAATATTATGAGTCATGAGACTCTATTGGGAGGGCCCCATGGAGAAAACACAACAACACCCGTGGGGTTGGCGGGGACGGCTATGCGCATATAGATGTAGATATCACCCATGAAAATAGGGATAAAACTGATAGATTTGATTGACCCATCGAGTATCACCTTGAAAAATGGAGATAAAATCGATCACAAATTGATCATCGCCCATAAATTGTGAGAGTTTCATAAACACTGAGTATCACATCCTTAAACCTGAGAATACCCATCCTCAACAAAAGGGATGACGCCTCATGACGAAGATGTTGTTCAAACCACCCCGAAAAAATGAGACTTGCGATGGTTTAACTGGTAGAAAGCAAGATCATTGGACCAAGAAGGAAAAACGATTCAAGTGATTTCAAGCAGCGAAAATGGTACAGTTGAACCAAGAGGAAACTGAGATATAGCCCACATAACAGTTCGAACTTGCTCTAATGGGCAGGTCACCAACAAGAAAATCGGCAGATGAAACCAAATTTTAGCTCGCATGAAAATCAACAAAAGTGGGGCTACAGCTGATACAAACAAGACACATGTTGGCCCAAGGCCCTACCTCATGGTCAGCTCTTGGTGAGCTGAAACACCGCGGCACGGGCCTCATAAACCAGCTTGGAAGTGGCACCAAAATGGAGGTAAGGCTGCAACTAGTAATGCTACACATGCCATCTTTGAAGGGCAGCCATTTGATCATTGTTAAAATTGAGACTCAAAGAACAAGCTCTCTCCACTCAGGTTCCAATGTTTCAATGATGGCTGTTGAGCTCCACCGTCAGGTCAGAATGGTCAGAATGGAGACCTGGGCAATCACTTTGCAGCTGGCCTCAGCTGATCGAAAAGTTCCGACATGGCACGATGACGTCATGGCACGAAAGTGCTGCAAAAATTCGCTGGCAACTGGCAACTAGATCAACCGATGCAAGCCAAAGATGCCCATGTTGACACCTGACAGATCCTGACAGCTGTTGTGACATGTGCCGAGGCCAAGGGTTTCGGTGATTCGAGCTACCCGGATCCGTTGTTCATGTCTGCCTGCGCGCTCAGATCCGTCCTGTTTGGTCTGGTCCCATCGAATCCCATGAAGGTTGAGAAATGTTGAGAAGCTGCAGGGTGAGGCTTGTGATATCTTGTGATGCTTATGCCATCTTATGCCACTCTCCAGGTGTATACCCTATAAATCCCCTGGAAATGTGGATCACTGCAGTGTGATACAAAAAGGGAGCACAACTTGGAATATGTTGGAATCCATGAGGCGGTGGCGGCCTCGACGTCCTTCTTCTTTGGAAATGCCGGGTCAATGCGTTACCCTGCCCTTGCCTCAGTTGGGCTAAAGTGCATGGCCGTGCTAGCGCCAGTATGTCCAACCTCGCTTGGAGAAGCTCGAGAAAATCAGCATGATATGAACGACTGACAATATTTGGGACTAGTAACCCATGTAGAGTTCATAATGTTCATGTATGGTCTATCTTGTCAATGGCTCGCAATGAATATATGACTATCATTGATTATATATATATAATATATATAATATATATAATATATATAATATATATAATATATATATATGATTATAGATACATGTGGGTATACATCTTCAGGATACATCCAAGTCATTGGAGCAGTATTGAAACAACCATGTTGATTTGATTAGGGATCCACCATAACTTCAGGATTTGGCCCCTTCCTGAGCCAGCCATCCCTGGAAGCCGCTTTTGGAATACAGAAAAAAACCACAGAAAACAAAAAATAACTTAATATAATTTAATTAAAATAATAATAAAATAATTATAGGATATTTATGGATAATTATTTTAATAAATTAATATATAATTATAGAAAATAATCCATAAATGTCACTAGAAAATAAACCATATATCTTTAATTTATATTGAATTATAAAATTCAAAATATATGGATATAATATTAACTAATACATATATATAAAGAAATTATAGGAAAAACCATATAAATAATTTTAAAACAAAAAAAACTACAAAAAAACAACGATTATCGATCTATTTTGGAGCTTGTTTAGGAATGGATTTCGGATGGTTTTGATTTTTTATGTTGGATTTTGAATATGATTTGTATAAAATCTTGGAAAATAATAAATATCTTTTTCTAAAAAAATGTAATAAAAATAATAATTATTTAGATATATAATATTTTTACGGTAATTTATACAATTATTCGAATTAATATATAAAATTTATAATTATATATATAAATAAATAATATAATTCAAATTTGATAATATTAATTATATATATATAATTTATTTTATATTAAAAAATATTATATATATATTATTATTATAATAATTATTATTCTTAATATTTATTAAAATATTAAAATTATATATTAAATATATAATATTATTTATAAAATATTTATTAATAAGGAAAAACATAGAAAATAAAAATAATTAATAATATTAATAAAATATAACTTCTGGGAAAAATAAAATATAATAATAAATAAATATAAATAATATTAATATTATATTATAATAATTAATTTTTTATTTAATTTATATTTAAAATATATAAATATATAATTATTTGATAAATTATAATATAATATTAAAAATTAAAATGAACAAAAATATTATATTAAATTAATATTTAAATATATAATTTATTGAATAATATATATTAATGGAAATGTATTAAATAGTAGTAATTATATGAATTAATATAAATCTTTAAATCTATTTAATATATTAAAATAAGTATTTTTCCCCACATCACTGTGTGGGGTTCTTGTTTTTCGCTTGGCTCCCGCCGGGGCTTCGCTCCTTCGCCTCCGCCCCCTCCTCCTCCGCCGCCTCCTCCTCAGTCACACTCATCACTCATCACTCATTCCCTATCTCCACTCACTCACTCACTCACTCACTCACTCATCTTCACTCACTCACTCACTCACTCACTCACTCACTCATCTTCACTCACTCACTCACTCACTCACTCAAGCACTCACTCACTCACTCACTTATTCACTCACTCACTCACTCACTCACTCAAGCACTCACTCACTCACTCACTCATCTTCATTCACTCACTCACTCACTCACTCACTCACTCACTCACTCATCTTCACTCACTCACTCACTCACTCCCTCACTCACTCACTCACTCACTCACTCATCTTCACTCATCCACTCACACTCACTCACTCACTCAGGCAGGCGCAGTACAGAGAGCTTCCTGGCTGCCATTCGCGTGGCAGGCGCAGTACACAGAGTGGAGGAGCTGCGGCGCGCGTGGTTGCCGCTGGGGCCGCGGCTGCCTCTCGCGTGGCAGGCGCAGTACACAGAGCCTCCTGGGCGTGGCAGGCCAAGTACACAGAGCCTCCTGGAGGAGCTGCGGCGAGCGTGGTCGCCGCTGGCGCCAGCGGCTGCCTTTCGCGTGGCAGGCGCAGTACACAGAGCCTCTTGGAGGAGCTGCGGCGAGCGTGGTCGCCGCTGGGGCCGCGGCTGCCTTTCTCGTGGCAGGCGCAGTACACAGAGCCTCCTGGGCGTGGCAGGCGCAGTATACAGAGCCTCCTGGAGGAGCTGCGGCGCGCGTGGTCGCCGCTGGGGCCGCGGCTGCCTTTCGCGTGGCAGGCGCAGTACACAGAGCGACTTATTATCACCACTTGTCACAGACCCACTTATCAGATCACAACTTCTCATCACAACTCATCACACCTTATCACATACCAAGTCATCACAGCTCCACTTCTCACACCTCACTCATCACAGCTCCACTGCTCATCACAACTCATCACAGCTCCACTTCTGACAGGTCCACTTCTCATCACAACTCATCACAATTTATCACAACTTATCACAACCCAACTCATGACAATTCCACTTCTCACACCTCACTTCTCACACCTCACTTATCACATCACAACTTCTTATCACAACTCATCACAACTTATCACATCCCAACTCATCACAGCTCCACTTCTCACACCCCTTCTCACACCTGACTTATCACATCAGAACTCATCACAACTCCACTTCTCACACCTAACATCACACGTCCACTTCTCACACCTCACTTCTCACATCTCCCCGAAATTTACATTAACCTTCGATACATAAAGGCTTGACATGTGGGGTTATCCGATTCTTTTATTAATATTTATTAATATTTATTAATATTTATTAATATTTATTTATATTTATGAATATGTATTAATATTTATTAATATTTATTTATATAAATTAATTTATAATTCATAAATATTTTTGAATATAGGTTATAAAGCAAATTTTAAATATATTATATATATATATTATGTATTAATATAATTTTTAATTTTAATTATATTTGAAAGAATAATTATGAAAATTAGATAATGAAGAAGGGGATTTTTTAAGAAATGATTTTGTATAAAAATGGTTTTGATATTCCAATATTTATCGAAAATAAATTACAATTTATATGGGAAGAATATTCTGAATAAATATTATGTATTTATAAAAATTATTATATATTTTCAAATATATATATATATGGATTTTTTATTATTGAATAGAATTTATTTTAGATATAAATTTTATATATAATAAAAATATATATTAAACAAAAATATATCAAAAATTATGATGCATAAAAATTATATTATATAAAGATATCTATATATAATATCATTTGATAAGAAAGAGATATATATATATAGATTTAAAATATGTCGTAAAAATAGATTCATCAAAGATTGATATTATTTCTATTATTGCTAATAATAATAATAATATATAGAGGATTTCATAATGTATTTTTTATAATTATTTAAATAATTATAATTTGAAATTATTCGAATTAATTATTATATTTTCGAATAATTATTATCAAATATTATTTTCTAAATATATTTTCCGATATTTTATTTAATATGTTTGTTTATTTTATATTTTTTAATTATTTTATCGGATATAATTTTAGATATGTGTTATATTTAATTTATAATGGTCAAAATTCTGTTCCGATATATATAATTAAATTCCGATAAGAATCATTACAAAGCAAAGATTACTAATCAAATCCACCATATTTTGTTATTTAAATCTTATAGTCGTTATTATTGTTGTCGTTCTTGCTAAGAATATAGTTATTTTATTAATATTATCGATATTATAAATAAATATTATTGTTGGTGCGGTTAGTTCTTGTTATTGTTGTTATTGATGGTGTTAGTGTCAGTGTTATTAAGGTTTGTATTGAAATTAATAGTGGTAGTAAAAGGGGTATTAATATTGTAAGTATTAATAATATTGTGGTTGTTAGTAGTATTATTAGTAGTGGTCTTAGTATCAATATCAATGATGATAATATTAATAATAATATTATGGTGATTTAAAAAATATAATTGGGATTATAATTATAATTATGGTTACAAATTTGGCTATATTTATAATTGTTAATATTGGTGTTAGTACTAGTATTGGTGTCGGTATTAATGTTAGTATTAGTATTAGTATTAATGTTATTATTGGTTTAAGTATTGGTCTTGTTCGTATTGTTAGTATTGTTGGTGGTGTTGGTGTTGTTGGTATTATAAGTGTTATTGGTGTTGTTAGTATTATTAATATTTGTGCTATTCTTAATGTTGTTAGTATTATTGGTGTTATTAGGATTCTTGGTATTATTAGTGTTGTTAGTGTTGTTGGTGTTATTAGTGTTGTTGGTATTGTTAGTATTATTAATGTTAATGATATTATTGGTATTATTAATATTATTGGTATGTGGGGTTATTGGTTTTGTTGGTGTTGTTAGTGTTGTTGGTGTTGTTGGTGTTGTTAATGTTGTTGGTGTTGTTGGTGTTGTTGGTGTTGTTAGTGTTATTGGTGTTGTTGGTGGTTTTGGTGTTGTTGGTGTTGTTGGTGTTATTGGTGTTGTTGGTGTTGTTGGTGTTGTTGGTGTTGTTGGTGTTATTGGTGTTGTTGGTGTTGTTGGTGTTGTACGTGTTGTTAATGTTGTTGGTGTTGTTGGTGTTGTTAGTGTTGTTGGTGTTATTAGTGTTGTTGGTATTGTTAGTATTATTAATGTTAATGATATTATTGGTATTATTAATATTATTGGTATGTGGGGTTATTGGTTTTGTTGGTGTTGTTAGTGTTGTTGGTGTTGTTGGTGTTGTTAATGTTGTTGGTGTTGTTGGTGTTATTGGTGTTGTTGGTGTTGTTGGTGTTGTTAATGTTGTTGGTATTGTTAGTATTATTGTTATTGTTAGTTTGGTTGGTCGTATTAATATTATTAATGTTATTAATAGTATTAATATTATTAATAGTATTAATATTATTAATATTATTAATATTATTAATATTATTAATATTATTAATATTATTAATATTATTAGTATTATTAATATTATTAATATTATAATGGATATTAATTAAATAATATATATATAAAAATGTTATTATATTATTAAACAAATAATATATTTAAATATAATTTTCGATGGATAAAGGGGTAACATGAAAAAAATTACAATTTTTATTTTTTTAATCGATTTTTTTGCTATTTTCTAGTTTTTCTTTTATTTTATAAAATATTAATAAAATTATAAATTCCATGTTTTTCCTACTACAACAAAGCTTTATTTTAATAATTTTATTGCGCTAAGGGGACCAACTACAATTTGTTTCGTTCATTGCCAAGGTTTCCTGTGAAATTTGAGCATGTTACAATATACAAACAGATGATACATGACTTAATTTCTCTACAAATGATTGAGTGGGCCCCTTTGGGCATTACGTTGCTTTCTTTGATTGGTGTGCATAGATGCTTTGTCTGTTCTTGAACAGTCTGAGTTTTTTCCATTTTGGCTTCAA